TAAATATTGTCTTTAAAATTTGAATAGATTTGATTAGAGCGACTAAACGGCCTTACTTTAATGGCTGTGCATAGGAATATTCCTATCAGTACCAAAGAGGTAATTGATGAATTAGCCAAAAAAAAAAGAAAATTAAATTTTTTACTATAATTTTGAACTGTTTGTAGTTTGTAAATAAAATATATTAAATTTATATGTTTTGTTATTTATTATTTGAATGCACAAATATTAGGTAACAGTAACTAGGTTTAAATTTTTTTTTCTTATCCCCCCCCATACAAAAATGATATATACGCCACTGTAGATGTTAACCCATAACTACTATATATCTTCTGTTATTATTTATTTCACTATTGAATATAACTATCATTGTATCCCTTTGATACTAGTCAACAACTGTAGTCTATCACGGTAGCAACTATCGCATGGCATAACTTTTTAAGATATTTTGGAGAAGTATCATGAACCAAGAGCATCTTTGAGAGATGACTTTTATACAAGCACCATTTAAATCAAGAAAAATATTTGAATTTTGTACATTTGATTTAATTGTTACTCCATATTTATTGACAAATTATTTAATCAATATTATTAATTATATTTGTTCTTTTTTTATGAATATGTTTATGTTCCTTGACACATTTTCCTAATGTATGATATGAACGTCATCTACAACTTATAAAATGATTTATTAAACTTAAAAACTATTACCTATGTATTTATATAAGTTTGTTTATGTTTGTCAGTAGTTTATTTAAGAGTAGATTGGTATTAGGTAGTTATTCCCATGATCACATCTGGAATAAATCTAATTGAGTGTTAACACTAAAATTACTTTAACAACATAAATATGAACAATTGTTTATAATATTGTCAATACAGTTTTCATTTCAATCATCAAAATTAATTGTATACATGCTTTGAAAATGTTATGACACACATTACAAATGCATTTACTAACCATTACACTTTTGAAAATTGTCAACTAAATGTATATTTTCGAATAGCTTCTAGTCATAGTTATACAACAAAAACTTCAAAGATAACTCGGTCTTTACATCCATATAAAATATTAATAAGACAAGTCTTAAAATCCACAATGCTGAATAATGGGTACCTATAGTAAATTGGTAAACGTAGATATTATTTTTTTATAAAAAAAGAATATTGTGGTCGTCCAGAGCGAGAAGTGATATATACATTTTATTAATAGAGAATTGTATGTAGATTCCATTCAAATAGCAAGTTCAACTAATTTTCCAGTAGTGTCCTTGAGAGTTTTCAAAACCCATAAGAAACCAAAAAACAATAAAATATTAATTGTTACATCAATAATAAAATATTAATTGTTACATCAATAATTAAATAATACTTATTGAATTATTTGCAATAATTAGGTATACTTAAGTTAGGTTACCATATAGGTAGTTTTTGTAATTTTTAGATTTCGAAGAAAATAGTCAACAATAGTTTTTACTTTTTCTCTTCTGCTCTTACATTAGTTGCAATGTCAAATATAATATTACAAAATTGATAATTTACTGTAATAAAGGTACTTATTTGATTTTCAGATACAAATTCTTACAAAACAGTATTAAAAATTGAAATACTTTTATTCTAGTTTCTAATATAAAATTGGTTTTTAGCTTTTCATAAGTCATCACACAAGCATAGGCAATATGGCCCATTATTCTGTTGAAATAAATAAAAGTAAACTCTTAATACTTAAAAAAAAACAATATTTTGTTTTTGTGCAAAAAATATGGCTCAAAGTGGCCAACCATTTTGAATAGGTAATGAAAAAGACAGAAAAATAATATTAGTATATGAGGAAATAATAAAAAAAAAACACCATACAAGACAAAAAAGCAGGGGGGAGTGGTACGCGATGGCGAGGTGCCACTGGCCACCTCCATACGATCCCTCGAAGTCTCGACCCGTCCCATTGAGTGCAATGGCCAGCGCGTTTGCTCTCGGGCGACGGCCATCATGACAGGGCCAAGGCCCGACAGCCACGACCGCTGGAGCGACGAACGGTGAGCGGTCAGCGCGATGTTGTGCGCATTGACAAAGTACCGAGTGAGCTGACACATAACCATCGGAATCGGCGGCGACCGGAGGCTTGACTTGACCGGCGGTATTGCCATTGGAAGAAAAATGGGGACAATCGTCGGACCACGCCGGAACGCACCGCGATCCTGATATTCCCCGATCCTCCCTGGGGTCCCGTCGGCCGCATCTGCGTCCCAGGTGGCCGTCCAGGAGTCGTGCACCACCGTACCCTGAAACGTTATCAGTTTTCCACGGGTCTGGCGGTGCTGACATTCGTGTCCCTAGCTTAGTTATCTATCGCTCACCCGTTGTGTTTTGCAGCCCCCCCCCCCCCGCGTCGAGCACACAGTCATCGTCGTGGTACCGTCGGGGCTGAGTCGTTGTCCGCGCCGGTATCGCTAGCCGCTGTCTAGTCGTCCGTCTATCGCTCCGAGGGCGACCGAAAAATCCGGGACCCAGCCGAACCGCCAGATGAGAACGCGTGACTCTGACCACTGCGATCCCGTCGCACCACGGGAGGTCGGAGAACGTATTTCGGCGGCTTACCGCCGTCCGCCGGACACCGTAAAGCGCTATGGCGCGCACCATTCTCCACGTCGCCGTTGCCGCCGTCTTGTCTTGGTGTTCTTCAGCTATGGCGGAGGGATAAGGGAAACTGCGGATCTCATTCCCTTCGGCAGCAGCAACCGCACGGTAACAGGCTCTTGACGCCTCTCCGTGCGGCGCTGACAATGCGCCTCGGCCGACCGCGCGAAGGGTTTCTCGTTACCGCAATGGGCGCAATGGTTGTCGCCGGATGTTTCTGCCTGTCCTGCAGCTCCGTATATCTTCCCTCTCTTCTTGTATTCCCTCAGCCGGCACGTCTTCCTCGTGAACCTCGCCGCCAGTCAGTATACGACGCCCTGCCCATTGTTCCCTGTCGTCTCGATGGGCGGCAGTGCTGGTTCGATGTCACCACTTTCCGGCATGCTGCACACTGCGTCAACAATCTCGGTCACGATGCATCGCATCTTCATCTATATCCTCGGGGTTTGAAATGATTAGTTTTTCTTCGGGCGGAAGAAAATCTTCGCCTTCGATAGACATCGTCCAGTTACCTGCAACGAAGCTCAGAACATTTAAATCAAGTGTCGCAATTATAATTTCGTGAATGGTAGCCATTTTTTTTCGATATATGTGGTTTGGTCAATCATAAATAGAATAGCCACCGTTTGGATTTCGGGCTCCTTTATTTTTCAAAAAATCATTATTATTGAAATATTCTCAATAATATTATAGGTACTACCTATAATATTATTAATAACAAGGATTTGTATTTAGATTTTTACTATACTACAGTGCTCGTCTTATACTTTTCAGGTGAAATCTTTAAATCTTTTAGAAACGATGAATGTATTGATTATGCAATGACATGATTCAACGTATGCAAACAAGTTTTATGGTAAACAAATTATGATTCGATCTCCAAAGTGATATATACCTAAACACCAAAGCATAGTAAATTTGTACTTTGAAGTGATTGGATCCAAGTAGTAAAGATTATAGTCAAATCCAATCAAAAAGATGGCACCTGGAAGCAATATTTATTAATTTCAAGGTTTAGTGATTCACAATCATTGTTATTTTCCCATTGCATGTTACTGTAAAAATAATAAATAATATTTGACATCAAATTTCTTTATTTGTTGTAAGCTTATTGTAACTTGGTGCTCTTTTGTTAAAGTTCAAGATAAATTATTACAAAACCTTAAAAGCACTTGTTGACTTAACTAATTACCCATATTAGCTTATAACTTCTTAACTTATTCAGTTAAAATGTTTGTTGTTGTAAATTAACTTTGGTGATAATTAAAAGGGCAAATTATATGTTAAACTCTACCCTTAAATAACATTTTAACACGTGAATTGTTATATAAATAGGTACCTAAATATTATGATTTATAAAAAGTAATAATTTTGTATAAAAATGCATCTATTCTGTTCGAATTCATATTATTTTTGAAATCAATACGATATCCACGGCTACGCTTTATGTTTAAGACATAACTTGTGGTTTATAATTGCGATGTACTATATCAGTCTATAAACCGTACTTATTGTATGAACCTCGTACTTATAAGAAGTTAATTGAATTTGACAGTTATAAGTATTCGCATTAGCTAGTTACCAGCTATTACATATTAAAAAAAATCACAACAATGGATTTCGAACCTGCGGAATTCATACCTGTTTGGGAAGAATCGTAAGTAGTGTAATCGATGTATACTTTATTGTGTCCGAATACTTGTAAAACTTTAATCTGTTTCAACGCATATACACTGTTTATTATTTTATTCATTAACTTTTACGAGGAGCGTTTTTTTTGGGAAAACGAAGATTCAACATTTTAAATGAAATTTCAGACCAGAAGTATATTATGACCCGGTGATACTAGAACATGAATTAGATCAGTTAAAAAAGGAATATTCCGAGATAAAATATCGGTGCTCGGAACTAGAAGCAGAAAATACACAGTTAAGAACGGCTGTAAAAACAAAAGAAAAAGAAAAAACAGATCTCCATAACTTATTCAGAGTAGGTATTCATTTTAATTCTAATTATGAGGGTAGCTACACATACCAATATTTACTGTTACCACATCTTCAACAAACAACAAATATTTGGTATTGCTCTGTAGGTATTTCTATAATTTTTCTTACGTATAATTTAAATGACATTAAAACGTGTACCCTTGTTTTTATTTAGTTAGTTAGACCACATACAAATATGGACCAACTATATTTATATAATATTAAATATATCATTACATTGTATTTTTTTAGGAAAATACAATCAAATTACCAAATGTCCAAGCAAAAGTCTTGGAATTAAATAAGGAAATAAATAAGCTAACCACGGATAAAAAAAATTTGATAATGGCCAATGAGAATTCAAAAGAAAAACGCGAAGAATTAGAAAAAAAATATAAAGAAGTTACGGAGAGTAATACAGCTTTAGTGGTAATAATATAATACTATTACGATTAACATACACATTATGTCCACGATAAGTAAATATAAAATAAATATTTAGGTTGCGAACAGAAAGCTAGACAAAATTCACGCGAAATGTAAACTAGAAAAAGAAAAGGAAATCAAGGATAAACTTCGAACGAAAACTGAAAACGACAAAACAAAAGCTAAGATTGAAGAACTTGAAGTGATTTTGATATTTTAAAAAGTAATACAATTATTTCACGAGTATAATTTCAGATTGAGAATAAAGCACTGAAAACACAAATTAGTAACCACGAGGACGAATTACGATTTAAAGAAATGCAAATTACAGGATTGGCAAGAGCCAATAAAATTCTCGAGACTAAGGTTGAGAATGTATTGGTAAGTATTATATAACTATGTATTATGTTTGATTTAAATTAATACATTAAGTATAATATATTTCACAAAAAAATATTTTCGCAGATCAAATTAACAGATTCTGAAAAACTTGTAACAGTTCTAGAAAAAAAAATAAAAACTATGAATAAGGAATGTTCAGAGTCAATACTTCGATACTCGAGTCTGCTTAAACAAAACAATAGCTTACAAAAAAAATTGGTGATTATTGTGTTTAACATTTTAATTATTAAACATAATCAGAAAATAATTAACTTGGTGAACATTTTATTTAGGACGAAGCAAATGAATTATTGATAACGGTCGATGAATTGAAAGAAAATGAACGTGGATTATACAAACAAATGAACACGTTTAAACGAATAATATTAGCAGAGCAATTGGAAAATAAGAAATTAATCGAAATCGCTGTAATTAAAAAAAAATTTTTATTTTATAATTTATATACATTGCATAAAATATATAATAATATGTATTCCAGCATCAATTGGAGAAACAAAAAACCAGGTTTATATACACAGGAGAAGACATAACGATAATAAAGCGCAAATTAGAAGAATGCATGAAACTCAATCTTGATCTGTCGAAGAAATTCAGTAACCTCGACTGTCCTTTCGTAAGATATTATATCTAAGCGAGTTATTTGATAGTAGAATCTTAAAAAATAACATTGTTCGTTATTAATTTAATTCAAAAGTATAAATCCGTATAATTTCGTTATAATTTCGTTATTTATAAATATTTTTATTTTATTAAGTTTACAGATTCAATTTAAAAGTATATTGTTCGTAGCATAAAGTAAATATATTTTGTAAATTGTTTGATAAAATGCGCTTAGGCCCATTTTATTTTATACAATTTAAAAAATATCTTTTTTGAACTCACCTCAGAGTGAATGTTGATATTTAAGTGTAGTAATACAAATTGTATTTTACAGTACCAGTCGAAATATGGTAAAATTGAAGACAAGGAACCAGCCATAAAATGCGGTAAATTATTCCATAACTATAATTTACCATCTATATTACCAATAATAATTATAAACTGGATTTGTATTTAGCAATTTACAATATTTAGTAGATAATTAATTATAACCTCGTGACCGTATTAGGAAGTCACGACAAAAAGTACAATTTGTACTTTAAATGCAGATTTAAATTTTAAATTTAAATACAACTAGTATCAATCTATAAACTGAATGCTGGGGTGTAAAGTTGGGGATCAAAATATTATTGTAATTTAAAATAAACTTAGAATTTTATTCAATGCCAAAAATATACCTACTACATGTAGTTAAGCACATTGAATATGAGAGTAAATTGTGTATACCCCTGATCGCATAGATATTAAATATTTTGAATAATTTTAATGGTTGGCACTTATAACATACATATCCCATGATTGTTTTCGGTTGTCACGTTTTAAATGTTGGATTAACTATTTATTTCAGGTTCGATAAAAGAAAAACATTATGAAAATAAAATATTTGCTTTGGAACAAGTGATCAAAGGGTATACGTCTTAACCTTATATTAGGTACACTTGAAGAAATACAATTAAAACATATAGGCTGTTTATTTTGTTCAATAGGTTACATTTAAAATATGATAGTCAAGAGAAAAAACAGCTTCAATATCGAGGCGTGGTGATTAAAAGCTTGTATGATGTAAAAAGAGCAGTAGATAAAGAAAAGGCTACTAGAGCCTTGCTCGAAAAACAAAAATATAATATTATCTATGATAAATTAGAAGTCTTGGATAAAGATTCAAAGATTCAAAAACTAGAGGTAACACTGTAACAGTATGAAACAATAATATCATGTCAGTTGCATTGAATAATATACAGTAGTATATTTGTTTAATAGATTCAAAAGGATGATTATGATCAGAAATGTAAATTACTTAATAGACAATCAACTTTGCTCTGCAGACAAGTAAGAAACGATTTTAAGAAAATGGAGTCCATGAAAAAAAGTACGTATTACCTTGTCATTAAACAATTTTGTCGAATATAATATAAGTGATGTCAATCATTGTTTATTTTTATCTTTACCAGACATTCGGAGAGCAAATAAAGTTTTTGAAGGCGTGGAACAAAAAAATGATGAATTACGAAATAAGACTGAACAGGCAGAGAAATTAGAGGAATCTATGAAAACGCAATTAGAATTTAATATCAAATGCCAAAAACGTCAACAATTAGAAGCAAACCAAATGAAATCTACTATCGAAGAGGTAAAACAATTTTCTCAAAATAACCTGGAGTGATTAACTTATTGACGATCTCCATACTTAACACATTTTAGTATTATACATGTAAACAATGTTTTCTTGTCGAAAATAACTATTTACTCATAAACTAATAAACCATGTAAATAATATTAGTTAAATGATGTGTTCATTTGAGTATATTATACTTTAGTTTGAGAAAAAAATCCATAAAATGCAAGAAGAGTTGAATAATACTAAACAAAAAAACGATGAATTGACAAACGCAGTTGCACGATTTCAGACGTCAAGCGAATTTGATAAGAAAATTCAATCGAAAAATATCAACGAAGCGAAAATTGAAATCGGGAAATTGTCAATTGAAAATAAAAAATTAACGTAATAATCAGTATAATTTGTGTTTAATATAGCTTATTCTAGGAAGATGAAATAATATTATATTTGAACTGCTAATCAAGTAACAACCGTATGCATATCTATTTTTAGATTTGAAAACAAATGTCTTTCGAAGTTGAAGGACGAAAATAAATTATTACAATCCAGATTAATGACTGGAGAACGGAATTTGTTATACCTTCAAACAAAATTCGATAAATTGTACAACGAGAAACAACGCCAGATAAATGCATCGAGAATACCCAAGTACTTAAAAGAATGTCTAATAGTATCCTAAATTATAAATTGTATTGTTCAATGTGTGTTGCAGATTGTAGTTGGAATGAAGAAGAAAGTCTCTATTCCAGTTTTGTTCAAGCACAAAATGTCCACGGTTTTATAATGTACATTACTTATTGTTATACATACATTTAATAATATAATAAACATGCATATAAAATAAATGCTTCATTTTTTGAATATTTAACAGACTCAAAAGCAATTGAACGTTTGAATTTACCATATTGAACGAGTAACTAGGTACCTATAACATAAGTAGGGCTTGTTTTAAAATTCCTAGATGAATATGTTGCTTAGTCACCGATTGGACATTGAGTTCAGATACAGTAAAACGGGTATCCCGATAATTGAACGAAAGAAAAAGAGGGAAATGTAGTGTGTCGTGTGTGGAATTTTGTTCTGTTAAAAAAATACAAGAATTGAAAAATAATAAAACACGACACGAATATAGCTTATAAGCTGTAATATCTATTAACGGGTCCAAATCGCAATTTAGTTTTCATTTTAACCGATATGAGCGCTATATGCGGGAACAGTCACAGATCACCATAGATAATAAATTATTATAATATTTATTATCTATGCAGATCACATGACTTTGATTCAAATCGTATGCCGTGTGATAACGCTTTTCTAAGACTTTGTCGTCGGGCAACCATACTATCTTTAATCGTGATCATAACAAATAAATATTATTCTTAATATTATTCTGTGATATTATCTATTATTATCTAATATTATCTTATCGTGTGACGGATCATAATCATCAAACAACGGTCGACCCGACTCGACGGAAGTTGTTGTGCAGGACGGGCGATGTCGTTTCGACGTCCTGAGTTGCCGAATGATGAGCGCCTGAGCGTTTTCGCCCGTCGGCGCCGTCGCGCCGAGCTCTTCTCATCTTGTGACTTGCAGTTGAATTTGTTCCTATGATTTTCCATTTGATGTATTTTTATCGATCGTCGCCGAACACTGCCTTTGGAGAGTTTGTGCCTGATAGTAATAATAAAATTAATGTTAATAACGAACCACTCGCATTTAGCTCATTTTGATCGTCGCTCTAACATTCCGTTCGATGCGGAGCTCAATTATCTATTACTATACAATTATACAGTGGGTGAAATCAATAAATCGAGTTCTAAGTACCAGACGGTCTACTCGCCGGATTAGCCTAGACGGCATACTCGCATACACCATAATTTGCTCGAGTCTACACTTAAGTTGATTTGAGTGGACGTGTGGTTCGCCGACCCATGGCCTCTGCTGATTAGTGATTAGTGCTTGCCGCTTGATTCATACTAAGTTGGTAAGCTTATTTTACTGCCAATGTAAATTGTTAGAATACTTCATCTCTGCCTCCACCAACCCACCCAACATAAAAAAAAAATCAAAAACAACATAATACTATTTACAAGTTTCAAATATTTCATCAAAAGATTGGTGAATAATCAATGATTCATATATTGTTATTCTAAATTTGGATGATTCCATGTTTCTAAAATTCTTAAGGCTTATTGATAGTTTTGTGGTAGAAAATGTCTAAATAATTTTTTTTGTGATTGTGGCTAATTTAAACAAATTAAATCTATCCTTGGACGTGTTGGTGGTCAAATTATTCGGTCTGGCGGGTGAATTTGTTTCCTGCAACGTCATACTTTATATTTTGTATTTTGAATAGTTTTAACAATTTACCATGATTGATAATTTTAATAATCATAAAAGTATAAATATTTATTAATACTTTTTGTTTTATAAAAGTTTTCATAGAAGTCTTATTTTTGATATTTGAAGCCTGTTTTATAATAATATGTAGGTACACACCTAGTTAGAAATCATTAATTTTGTTATTCTTCATATAATATAATCAACTTTTGTCACTAATCACCATTTCTTTATTGTAAATTGTAATTGATGTTAAAAAATTTTCTTTGGCCATTTCATGAACATAGATTTTACTTTCTATTTTTACAGAATACAACTAGAAATAAAAAGAGAAATTCAAAAATGGATACCTACAATACATGTCCATGTATGCGTCGTGAAAACCCTAAAGTAAATATAAGTGCTTGTACATCGTTTTAATAAATTCTATTGATTTAACACTTTGTTTTTGTTTTTCTAGGACCGTGTATGTTTTTCTAATGGTTGTGATAAGCGCACTGTATTTACATTAAGTAAAATGGCATATTATGCTTGTATTGACATTCAAAAAAAAGAGTACAACAGAATTAGAAATGCACCGGTAGTTGATATACAGAACTGTTGTCGCAAAATATTGGATGCCATTAAAAGAAATATTGATTTGCCATATGATCCAAATCATACAGAATGTATCTATGCATATCGTGAAAACTTTAAGGTAGCATGTTTTGAAGCTGCAAGAGTTGGGCATATGGACTGTTTAAGATTTGCCCATGAAAATGGATTTCTGTGGACCACTAGAACATCCAAGAGGGCTGCAAAAAATGGATATCTTGACTGTTTAGAATATGCACATGAGCATGGATGTCCATATGGTGACACCATTTTAAAATACTCTGCTAAAGGTGGACACTTAGAGTGTATGAAGTACTTGTATGAAACTGGATGTAAATTGACAATTTTAGCATGCTCTGCCGCTGCAGAAGGTGGTTTTTTAAAATGTTTAAAGTTTGCTCATGAAATTGGATGTCCGTGGGGAATTAAGACGTGCACTAAAGCTGCAGCTGGTGGCTACTTGGATTGCTTAAAATATGCTCACAGGAATGGAAGTGTCTTAACCGTGAAAACATGCGCTGCGGCAGCAAGAGGTGGACATTTGAAATGTTTAAAATATGCTCACCGAAATCGATGTAGATGGGATGAAGAAACAACTAATAATGCTGCACTTGGGGGACATTTTAAGTGTCTTGTATATGCACAAAAACACGGATGTCCGCTAGGTCTAAATATTTTGGAAAAGGCTGCGATAGGTGGAAGCTTGGACTGTATGAAATACTTATATAAATTAGGATGTCAGATAGGACGATTAACATGTGCCACTCCTGCAAAACATGGGAACTTAGAATGTTTAAAATATTGTCGTAAAATTGGATGTGAATGGGGAAGAAATGTGTGCACCAAAGCTGCAGCTCGTGGCCACTTAGCTTGCCTCATCTATGCCCATGAAAGTGGTTGTATTATGACCTGTACCACGTGCACAGCCGCTGCACGAGATGAACATTTAGATTGTTTAGAGTATGGTCGTCGGTTTGTAGATTGGTGAGAGTGAGATGAAGCGTAAATAAACGCTTCAAACTTCTGATTTAAGATTTTACTATTTACCTAAGAAATGTTTAATTCATTAAACATAAGGCCATATATTTTATGAATAAAAAGAGATGGTAAAATAATAATACAACATCCTAAATTAAATGTATGATAATCTATATAATATTATGAACTTATGTTAGATCGAACAATCTCATTCAGTAAAATGAACTAATCTGACCAATATGAAATTATTTATGAAAATCAATGTCAAATGTTATCTTTCCTTGAATGGACTTAGCACCTGGTGAAAAATGTAAATATGTGAAATTTAGATATACTTACTATATTTACTATTTGTCTTACCTGCAAAGTGCAAATTATTTAATTGTGTATTCAATGTTAAGAATATTATATTATTCAATTGATTCAGGGTATTTTTTCATTTAACTGCCTAAAAAAAAAATCCAATGGTGAATCAACTTCATAGTTCAAAGTATTGAAATGATAAATCTGAATTCACTATGTATATAAATGTATTATAGAAGGCCAATTATTAATTAGTTTAATATGGACCGATTTATTAGATGAAAAAGTGAAAAATATAATTTGATGTGTGGTGTCAAAAGCAATCAAATCAAATTTTGACATTCCATGGTTATAATACAATTGAATCTACAAATAATTTAGCTTGTCAATTCAAGATAAATCAGATAATAATTTCTTAAAAATGAGTACGACTATTCTCCATATTAATTCCTAGTTTTCGAATATTTTGATAATAGTACTAAAAACATTTATGTTTTGATCGCACATGAAAGATCTATCCTTCATAGTTTTGTTCGATTCCTAGTACCTTATAGTTTAAAATACCAGGCCTCACTAACATTTGAATAGATTTCTGGTATCTTCATAATATGCCATCAAAACTCTAAAGGTATGCTTTATGACTATAAAATAATTTTAAATTTATTTCAACATTTCTACTAAAGACCATAGTAAGATATGTGAAAAGGATATAAACTACCAATTACTATACCTATTAGCCTTACCAAATGTTTTTTGTAATATCTTTTATTTTGTGATTTTTGATTACCTACCTAACTATTGAGTTTTGATAGTTCTAATAGTTATGTTATAAGTTTTATAGCAAAACAACTAAGTACCTATATTGTTAGTACTTACTTGTAAAAATTACTTAGGTAGTCGATAAGTTAATGTATGTACCATATTATTATCTAAAACTATTCATCCAAATTTATATAACCAATAACAATTTACAAGTAACAATAACTCTCAATTCAGACATATTTGAACAAAGCAATTCTGTAATGATTATTTATTTAATTATTGTTACCAATGTAATATTTTTAATACTTTAAAATAATATAAAACGTCAATATGTAAATAAATACTTCTTTATTTAATTGTAAAAATATTTGTTAGTAATTGTTTGAGTATAATGTCTGTTACAGTATAAACTATATCGTTATTAAAATGTTAATATATATATATATACAAATATTACAAATGCAATGCTAATGACCTTAGTTGTCGAACCAGAAATTAAAAGTTTCAAGGACAATAAAAATTTTTTTTTAAAAAACGATAACGTGTTTGTAGATGATGGGCAATAGTGGATGTTGGAAGAGGCGAAGTCCACGTTTTTCAAGTAATTAGGTACCTACCAATGTTATAAACTTATAGTTATTTTTAGCTCTCCCTAATTCCACCTATGCTAAAGGCTACTGCCCAGTAAGTTATTATACTCGATAGTAGGTAGGTATATCTATGTAAATTGGAACGAGGTCTAGTAAACATAAATTATAAGTTTCTTTTGATATAATTGAAAACCGTCGGTACAGTCATTATTTGTAGAAGTAAATTCTCCTTTCAATAGCCAAATATTAGACCATGGTCCATGATACCATTTTGTATTATAGACGTTTAAACTATAAACCTAATAATTATTATAAAAAAAAATAGTGCCTTAGAATCGAGATGACCTGGGAATTTCAAATGTTGTATTTTGTTGTTTTGGCGCCTTGGTGGTACTAAAATAGAAGCCGTGTCTATTGGAGGCGTAATATATTATATTTTTATGATACGTCTTTGATGACTTCATTTTTAAAAACATCTATGGTAGAAATCGCCCTTGAACAGCGATGACTGCACGTCGACTTCGATGAATTATGAATGCCATTTCAATATGGAAGTACGGAACTGCAATTTTGCATTTTCAATTTGACATTTGTAACTAGCACCTACCTACTTATTCAGTCACCACGATCGTTAATAATAGGTATTCGATGTAAAGGACTGGTAGTCGAGTAGGTATCGTCAATATTGATTTATGCTACATATTTACATTTCTAGTACCCGGGAAGCTCGTTTTCTATTCTAAAGTTAGAAGTTGTCCAATTTGTCTACTGAGAAAAGTGGATAGTATGGCTGAACGAATTGAACAAGGAACTCCCAAAACCTATCGCGGCGACAACCATTTGGAGTTAAACGATGATAATAATTGCGATCGCTCATTTATCGAAGCTACTGTAAACTGTGATCGCCTTGTGGTAAGTTTCCGTTTGTTGCCGAAACATATAATTTTTGACCAATATATTATTTTATGCCTAACACTTGTTAATAACAATTTGGAACAGCGGAGGGGGGGAGAGCAAATAATTTCACCCAAAATATTTTTTTAATAAAATAGTCGATATCGATTATAATTCTGTGAAGCATTATCAAAGTACCCATGTTGCTTAATTTTGTTTCAAAGTTGAAGCATATAATATTGTTTTTAATTTACTTTACTTTTTTATGATTCAATTAGTTTGTTATATAGGTACCTACCTATTTTTTTCTATTTATAATCATATTGGTTTTGTCAACACCTCTTTATTTGGGCATACTATGTTAAAAATAGTTCCGTATCTGATTTAGAGTAAATATATTCAAGCCTGGGCATGAGCAAGGTAAACAGTTAATTTTATCTTTTTTAATTTTATTTTCCCTAACTAAATTTTAACTTAACTAATATTTATTGATATATGAACTTAATAAATAGTTAACGAGTAACTATTAATCAAATCCAAGTTACGATAATTTACAAATAATTAAATTATTATTGATGATGCATAATATCGCATACTATACATTTATTTTTTTATTATTTTAAATTAAATTACTAGCAATTTATATAAAAATAATAATAACTTAAATTAGGTGTACAAGTTCAGTGTCGGTTTCCATATAATTTTTAAGTTTTAACCTTGCTTTTAACTTAACTGAGTTTAAAAAATAATCGGATACACTTTAAATTTTTAAAAAATTGTATATAAACTTAACTTAAAGTTAATGTTGGAAGTATCCACTGATCATTGGCCAGGCTTGAATGGCCTGTGGCTATTTGTACGAATTTTATTCATTCCGAGGCTTTTCTTTAATAATGTTTAAGCTACAAAATAAATAGTACCTAGGAATAGTAACCCACGAAGATGAACAAATTTAGATAACCAGTTAAATAAAACAAGAGTGATATATTTTTATTCCAAGACGTGTATTACTACTTTTACTTATTGGAAACTAAAATTAAAACTTTCTATTATTAAAAATTTGATCTTAAATTTAGTGATGTAATAATTTTATTCAATATTATAATTTAAGTATGCTATAATTTATTATTAAAAGATATCTGTAAAAATTAAAAATATAGTAAAATATACATAGGTCATTAGGTCCTTATTTTTTAAATAATAATCTATTTGTTGAAACACAAATATAAATATTTTTTTTTATAGGATGGGGGCTGCTTATGTTATATTTGTTGAAATCCATTTAGGGGAAAGTGGCCCATTTTCTTCGTGGCACACCCCATACTAAATTCCTGCTCAGCTCACGTATATGGTACGTATACGTACCTTGTACTTACACCTATACTTAATACTTAGTATTTATTATAAATTTAAACATTTTAAGTAGTGCGAAAGTGAGTAAATTACATCCCTCCTTAAATGTTTTACAAGTATGCCATTATATTTAAATATGCTTATACGTCTATCTATACGAAGTCACGAAAAGTAAAAATCTATTTAATCTTAAATATTTAAATATTGTGTTTATTTAGAATCATATTTCGCATTATATGTTTACTCTGGCAGCTATTGTTTTATATTTATTTATTTTTTTGGTATTATAATTATATTTTATGTACGGCCCTCGTCTTTCTTCATTACATTATAATAAGTTGAATACAATTTAATAACAATGTATTTTTTTATTATATGAATCAATAGAATCGTTTGGAATCAATGCCTTTTTTACGGGATGTCGCTTTAAAACTCGGAGCAGAAAATACTCGTAAACACTTAGTACCATACCTTACTCATCTTATAATTGCTGAGCAACTGTCAGAATTGAAGGATTTAGCTGAAGTTCTTGGTGAATTTGAAATTTATGTGGGAGGACCAAAATATGCTCACATTTTGCTGGTAAGTTAAAGACATCAATTAAGTACTTATAATAGTTACCTAGGTAGTTATTTATGTACAGTAAAACAAATTTGCTTAACCATTTTCCACCCTAATTCGAAAATTCTAATGCCGATATTTATTTAATTTTTCCGCCTCCAATTCTTTTAAATGAGATGCTACCCTAAAGCAATACATGACTTGCTTGTACCCCAGCGACGGGTCTGCTATAGTTGCGAGGCGTGAGTCTTTAGGTCAGCACACGATTTAAGATAGTACCATAATATTATGTCTAAGTCCTAAGATAGGTCGGAACTATCTTAAATCGTGGGTCAGGGAGATGTTGAAAAAAATATATGTCAGGCATAATGTTACATAATTACCTACCCATTGATAGGTATTAGGTATTCATTTTTAGACAATAGCCGACCATTGACTATATAAATGTGCAAATCATAAATAAAAAACGAACAACAATAACGCGTTTTCGGTAATCGTTGAGTGATTTCGCAACATTAATAGGTATAGCTTAATAGGTAACTGATGTCTGATTACTCTGATTTAATATCTAACGATTAAGTACCTACTTAAAATGTTTTAAGTTAAAAATATAAACGAATTGTCTCACAGCGCCACGATAATCTCCACCTGTTTTCTAATGTTTTCCCTGCAAACCGCTACTGGCGAAATTAAACAAATTTGACATCGTCTCATATTTATTTTTATTCCTACATATCTATTGTATTTAGATGTTATCTGAATTGACCTGCCGTGCCATAATATGTACTATGTAGGTTGTAGGTATATATTTAATTTACAAAAATTGTTGATCTTAGGTTTATAAGCTAGGTACCTACCTATTAGTATTAGGTACCTATTTACCATGTTTAATGAAAACAATGCCAAATACAATTGTTATCTCTTATTTTCTAAGGATTTAACTTATCATTTTATCCATTTTTAGCTACCCCTAGAAGAATTAACAGGTGTTAAAGTTGGTAATGTAAGGATGGCTGCCATCAAATCATTGCAAACATTGGCCGATATTATGGAAGTCATCGATTTGGAAAATTATTTTATACCTTTTATCGCTAGTTTGACAATGAATGATAGATGTGCTAAACGTTGTTCTGTTAGTCATCTATTCACTACAGTTTATATGCGTGTCAGTCCAAAATATCAAAGTAAATTTCTTGTTTTTAATATTAAGTCTATGGGAATTTTTTTAAATAATTTGTTTTATTATAGGTGACTTAATTGACTATCATTGTTTCTTAAGTTTAGACTCGTTACCTTCTGTTCGTCAAAATGCAGCTAACAACTTGGTTGATTTCAGCGAAATTGTTCATATGTCAATTTTTGACAGTAAATTAACTCCACGTTTGGAACAATTTAGTTTTGACCAAAATGTAATCTTACCAAATTTCTATAAATTTAAATTAATATAGTTTTATTATTAGGAGCATGTTAGAATTTTGGCTTTATCAATAGCAATAACAATTTCAAAAAAATTTGATGTCTCTTACACAAAACAGACAATTCTTCCTATTGTCTTGAATTCAATAAATGACCCTTCATGTGAAGTACGTTCAATACTCATCAAGAATATTGCCAAGGTATCATTTTAGTAATTTACATTTTTATTTAGTTTTGCATCAATTGTTTAATAATTAGCTAGTTTTTAAATAGTTGCTTGTAATTGGTGTAAGTTGCTTAAAGCTTACTGAAAATATAATGAAAGTACTCATTTCATTAACTAAAGACCAACAAATAGAAGTTCGATTGCAGTCTGTCAGTGTTCTTTATGATTGTACTGTTGTTCTTTATGAAAATTTGACTTACTTAGAAGCTACTAAATTGGTAACCAAATTTTTAATTCCAACCTTATGCAATTTAAGTCAGGATACTGATGTGAAATGTAAGCTGGAGGTTCCAGCTGTTTTAGCAAAATTTGGAAAAATAATGCCTAATATAGTGTAAGTTGGCATACATAGATTTGTATTGTATTTTAATGCAGTAATTATTAATGAATTATGTTGGGCTTACCAAAATGTTTATTTTTGATGTTGTTTTTCATTTAAAATCATTCAAATAATAAAAAATATTTAAAAATGGTTGGTATATCTTATTTTATTTTGAAATATTGCTATGTATAACATGTTATTGTAAACAAATATTTTTAATTAATTTCATTATACATTTAAACAGCGAAAACGTTAACAATTACCTACATATATAATATCGAGAAAAAATAATCAATAGCTTTGCAATGATTTTAACCACCGTGCAAAGTTCAAACCATTTCTTGGAACTCCCAGTAAATTATAGTGGGTATATTAAAGCAAGTGGCTCATCGCTCATGTGTTCATATCAAATATACCTATGTGATGCAAATACGCCTTACACAAATACTAAAATATATCATTATATTAATAGTGTTTAAGCAATAGTATAAATGTTTAATTTAGTCCAAAATACATGTGCAATTTTAGAACAAGTAGCCCACAGTTCCACAGGTGTATATGAATATTATTTAGATTACCTACTTATTTTTGGAAATTATTAATGTCTCTGTTTAATAATAATATAGTATATACCTACTAGTCATAAAGTTCTTATTTATAATTCGTAATTATATACATTTTCTTATAGTATTAGGAAAATTGTTATTGTTGAAAATGTATTATAATTCAATGCAATACAATTATGCCCTAAGTACTTCTTTAAAACATACAAGCTACCAATGCTTGACAAACTATGTATACGCCTATATATATTTCAGAATTAAAGATTATTTTGTGGACTTGGTTAACAAATTACTTAAAGACAAAAATGTTGATGTAATATTTAATGTTGTGAAATATATGAAGGATATTTTAGGATCACAGTACAATGTAAATATAATCATATAAATACAGTGTATTTAAAAATGTAATGTGATAGTATTTATATTTAGTTATTAAATATTTTTAGAAAGCACATTTTCTTTTTAATACTTATCTTACCAAATATAGTAACATATAGGTACTTTATTTTTAGGACAAATATTTTTTCTTTGCACATTGTAATCTAATTATTCTACTGTGTTAGGTACTTCAGTACCTACTTTAACTTTAAACTCCTATCAATAATAAACTATAAATAGATAATTCAATAATATTTCCATAATAAAATCAAATTTTACACTGTATGAAGAGAAAATAAACATAAAGTTAACATTTATTTAAAAAAATAATACATACATCTATGCTTTACAATATAATAAGCATATTTGTAAAGAGAAATAGTGCTTGATTTTTTAAGTAAAGAAAAGCCTTTGACATTAATGACATGTTTGCTTTAAAAATTAAATAATTAGAAAATATAATTTTTTAACTATAAAATTGTCTAAAATAAAAGCTCACCCTGTTCATTTTTTATCATTTTAATGTTTATTTATATATTTAGGATTTGATAGTACTACCAGAAGATCGATTAATATGTTGTTTGAAAGCATTTATTATAAGTGATTCGTGGAAAATGCGAAACACTGGTGCAATTTATTTATATATATTGGCAATCCAAAAGGGTCTCAAATTTTTTGAAGATTATTTAGAACAGCCGTTTTTAATACTGTTAACTGACCCAAGTAAATATTATTTAATTCTATTTTTAAAACGTTGTATTGATTCCCTACTATTTTGTATGAAACAGTTTAATATTTGCATGATACTTAAATAGTTGAGTAATGTATTTGATATTTTCCAGAATCAACTGTTCAGCAAACAGCGATGGATGTATTTAAACTATTAGTTACTGAATTTGGAATGGATTGGGCTCAAACATATATAGTGCCATACTTAACGAAAATATCTTACTCAAGAAATACTTATAACAAGATGGCGTTTTTATCATTTGCTAAAGTATGTGCAACATTAATGAGTATACAATTTAGAGCATTAAACATATGAGAGAGAATGCAGTGGAATAATGATTTGTTGGATTCTTAATAACCAACCAAATGTTCCATGATTAGATGTTAGGTATTAGATATTTCATTTATCTTAATAATCTAACTTATATGATGGGGTCTTAAAAGTAAAGTTATTAAAACTTTGGGTGATTAGAATTTTTTGAAATCTGTGATCAATTAATGTTAAACTAACTATTTCCTCATGTTGTGTACCATCAGTCTGACGATAATCTAAATGTTCGCTATGCGTTAGTCAAAATATAAAATGTAATAATGACCTCGATTTCGGAGTATGATTATATTTATAATTATTCTAGTTTTCATAAAAATCATTTTGTATGGTTTATTATTATTCTACAGTAAACATATTATATAAATTGATAAAATGAAAACTTCAATAAAAATATTGATCTCAGACACAAGCAATTATGTTAGTAAACTGGCAATGGATATCTGCAATAAGCACTTTGATAAGTACCTACAAAGTCATTCGGTCTTTACAATGTCTTTAATATTTATAAACTTATTTAATCAAATTCAATTTCTCGGGTACTCAGTGATATCACAAAACATGGTCATAGTTTTCATAAAAGTATCCTTCAACATTATTCTCACTGCAATTTTTCATTTTTAATTATTATATTATAGTCTTATACTATTTTGTTATATATTTAAAAATATGTTGTTACCATATTCATTGTTTGTAATTTAAAAATATTTTGTTTGAAGTATAAACATAAATTAAAAACAAATAAAAAGGATATTGTTTTTTTTAATGTTATGATAAATATTTATAAAATTGTTTCATCTCATTGATTAATATGCTATAGATTTATAATACAAAAATATAATTAAAACAAAACAAATGTGTTTTTAAACGGTTTTATTAGTAAATTTTTTTGGCAATTTAAATTCAAATAAAAATACTAATTTTAAGGTTAAATACGTAGAAATGTATACTATTCATACGTATTAACCCTGTGAACACAAACTGATTTTCAATAATTTTATAAGATTTCCAGTTTCAAAAACCCTGAAGTTTAGTACTCAAAATTAATTATTAATTATACAAAGGACAAAAAAAAAATTTGATGGTAATAAATCAAACAATAAAAGTTTAAAAGCATAATATTATATGTATACATATTGCTAGAAAGTTGAAAAGGTTAAATTAGTTTTGGAAGCAAATTTAAATTTATTTATTAAATCAAGTATCATTTTAATGTATAATTTCATACTCAAAATATTCTATTCCTTTAAATTAAAAAAATAAATTTGAAATAATTTATTTCAAATTTATTTTCTAAACTCTCATTTTTCTCTTATCAGTCTTACATATTTGCTTGGCTTAATACTTCAAAAATACACACTATGTCATACTGTAATCATTATTTTCAGTTTTTACTATTCTTTGTTTTTGAGTTTTTCACCAGCCAATCATATATTTGGGCCTCATTATTTTTAACCCAATGTACATTTAGTTGTATCATTTCCAAACTTTGTTCTAAAGCTCTAGTTCCTGAACCAACATCTATATAACGGAAGAAATCAGATACTTCTTTAAAATCGTATTCAGTTGCAAAATGAGATGTAACCGCTGTAATTAGACCTCCCAATGTGAAAGTTCCATTTCCAAAAAGTGTTTGAAGATTATCCCAGTTAGCTTTTAGATGACGCCATGCCAACAGCTGACCTTGTGATCCTTGTGAAGCCACTACACCAAAAACCATTTTTACGTCCTGTGCTTTAACTTTTGTGCTATCTAGCGTGGTTGACAAAAGTCTAAAAATTAAATTAAATGTATAATGGAAATATTGATTTTAACAAAATATTAGACATATTACTTTTGAAGTAACCAAGGATCATTAGAAGCACCAAGTACTGTAAGGAGTAATTGACGTTCGCTTGGCACACGACTTTGATTGTATTTATCCCAACAAAAATTCCATTCTTTGACGTCTCCGTGCATAATACCTATTAACAAATATTTTTAATACTAAACACTAACGAAATATAAATCATTGCTATTACCTGCCAAATAAATTACTTCTCTCAAGTTTGGTGGTATACGTTTGTTTTCATACATCCATTCTTCAAATCTATTTTTTGCTTCTTTTACCACATCTTCTATTCCGCATAATATAGCTGCAGACAAAATCTGTGATCGCATTAATCTGAAAATTCATATGAAACATTGAATTACATGAAATAATTTTCTATTGACAAAGAATACCGACTTTCAACAATTAATAGCATTACCACAGTTAGAAAAAAAATTGACATAGTGAATTTAACTATGATATAAAATTATAATATACCATAATAGCCATAATATTTCATAATATTTAATTCTTTTTTTGAACACTCACACATGTTGAATGCAATGTTCAATTTTTAATTTTCAACATTTGTAAAACAGTTTTGAATGTAGATTGGTTTAATTTATTGTCTCTCTCTTGTAAATATTATACACAAAGCTACTGAAAAATTGTAAACATTAATTGAATTAAGGATATTACTATATTATATAGTATTAGAACCTTGTTTTAGTTTGAAGATACGAAATTGTAATTAGGTAAAAGAAAATTCATCAAATAACATTGTCATAACTTTAAAATTCACCATTTCATTTTTTTTCAATAATAAAAAAAACTTTATAAGATTTTTGAACTAATATAGCTATTAACAACTAGTTATGATCATATTGCCTGTGAATTATGATTAATAATAAACAATAATCTTGGTTTACCTACATTTTTAAAGCTTAAATATTTATTAACTAATAAACTTAACACCTATATAAACTAGGTACTCATATCAATTAGAATAATTATATATTATTATTCAATTCCAGTTTTAGCTTAAAAATACTTTCAATAATTAACTATTAATTTTTCGTTATCAGTTGAGTTAAAACTTATAATAAACTGTACATTACACAACAATTTAAAAATAAATATATCTACCTAATGTGTGTCGGGGATCTAGGTGATAGGTCACTATCTATTATTGTATAGTTTATATGGTATCTCTTATCCATACTAATTAATAACTATACATTGTTTTTGAACTTTTTAAAATTTTAGAGTTAACAAAACATTTCTTATTACTTTACTAAGTAACTACCTGGCTACCTTTAGTATGTAAATTGTACATCCATAGAAAATAATAATAGATAGGTAGGTACATACTTTTCCAAATGAGTTCCTTGGTCGTCCCATCCAACAGATCGAGCTACAGGGCCAAGAAGAGTCTTGGTATAGTCCAAAAATAGTTTGTACGGTGACGATTCTGATAAGAACTTGCTCCAGTTTTCGAAATGTTCGAGAGCAGTCGCCCAGGGGACAAAATCTCTTTCTTTGTACAAATATTTGGATAGTTCCAAAGGGACAGTCACGTTGAGTATTCCCGCTCTGCATAAAGTGAATATATCATCTATCAAAGAAGCCCTGTCTGCTGCACTGAACACCTCGTGATTTAATTGAAGTTGTCCTATTATTTCGTTCCACAATCCATCATCGTAATTTACGCGGTAAAATCCGGACTGATTGACGTTGGCTTTCAACCACCGTACCTTCGGATCAACCTCGAATCTCACTGTAATTAAAAATGCAATACTTTATTAATTCAAGGTTCAGGGTTTCAATCACTATAAACCGATAATAAATGTAATTAAAAATTTGTAATTTCCAAAAACCTTGGAATATGCACTTTTTTGAACAAATAACATTTTCAATTATTTATTTTTAGATTTTGCATATTTTAATATCCACATACAAAAATTAAAAAAAATAAATAAATAAAACATAGTTGATAATTTTTGGATGTCAACACAAAAATTGACAACTTGATAGAAATAATATTTTTGTTAATCAGGCAATTATAATTAAATATTTTTAACATTTATTCATTGAAAAACTTTAAATACACCTTTAAATATGCCTTAAAATAGAAAAATCTTTAAAATAAATTTCTTATTTAAATTTACAGCACTTTCAAATTTGTTGTAACTACTTATTTGTGCCTATATTACTATGCGATATTTATTATGTTCAACAGATATGAAATTATTTACTATGCGGAAGTAGAACTCGGGTTATTATGATTTATGATATATTTATAAATTATGTTCAGTTACCCACTACACCGTACAACAAATATGCAGTAGTACCTATAATAGATTGTATAATTAGATTGAAAATATGTTTATTTAATTAACTACTAACCATCAGTCATGTTCATCCACACCACCTCTTGTTCACGATAACTTGTTATGTCAGTGTAAAAGCTCAGCGGTACGTACCACTTGTAATCGTACTGAGACGGTGCGGCTCGATTCTTTACCTTACTGGCGATTTCTGAGGTTAAAAGGAATCGGCTTTGCATTGCCGTGAATGAGACCGCGTTGTTTGAAGACGAACTGTTTTCTCTACTTATCTTGATCACCGGGAAACCCATCTGGCAGGTCCAAGTATCCATTATGTACTGAAAACGAAATCATTAAAAATGAAACTGAATTCCCCAATTGGGCGACCATCTAATCGCAACCTAATATGATTCGCTTACTCTGACTTGTACAGTATTTTTAGCGTGTAGACTCAGCACGCTCCACAGGTCTGTAGTATCTGCATTTCCGTACTTGTGAGTATTCAAGTAATCATTCAGTCCGCTCCGTAAGGTTTCCAGTCCTAGGAATTTTTCTAACATGTATAAGATCGCTGCTCCCTGTAAATAGTGTAAATAGGTAAAGATTTTTAAAAAAATGATATTACTATTTTAAAAATATAAATAATTCAATATCATTAAAATATTATATTTTATAAAATCAAATAAGTACTACGATATAAAAACGAGCATTACTTTGCTGTACGATATGGAGTCGAATATGGCCTCGATTTCTACCGGATCGTGTACACTAACGCTGATCGGATGCGAGGTGGACAACGCGTCGAGTTTCAACCCTTGCTGGGTCTTGTCCAACACGAACTGAGCCATCATCGACCACCCAGGCATCACGTGGTCAACTCCGCGGTATTCCAAGAAACTGGCGAAACCTTCGTTCAGCCATAAATCGTTCCACCAACACATCGTCACCAAGTTGCCGAACCATTGGTGCGCTAATTCGTGGGCCACCACCACGGCCACCCACTGATGAGCGACCGCTGAAGTTTCTTTTTCATCGTAAAGTATAGAAGTCTCCCTGTACGTGATCAAGCCCCAATTTTCCATCGCTCCGGCGCCAAAATCCGGTATGGCAATAAGGTCTGTATGATAAAAAGTAAGTTATACTTGGTAGGTATATGCTGAGTCTACTATTATAACTGTTGCTATAATATCAAAGGCGGTATATACCTTGTTTTGGTAGTGGATACGGAACTCCGAAGAAATCTGCATAATGGTCCATGACTTTAGTGGCAGTACTCAGAGCGAACGAAGTCTGGGATAGCAATTCAGGCGGAGCGTACACTCGCACAGCGACTCCTTGAGAGGTTTGCGCATGCACAAATTCATAATCGCAAACGACAAATGCCACAAGGTAGGTACTCATTTCTACAGATTCTTCAAAGTCGTCGCGCATCTTAAAAAATCATAATATTAAATATTAGGTTCTTATTATTAGCAGTACGCGTGATAAGTAGGTACTTATATAAAATAAAATATATTTATATAACCCTACCAGTCCAACTCCCATGTACAGTCCGTCGTCCATGGACTCTTTGATCGGCATGTTGAACAGCGCTATGTGGAATCTGTTCCTCAAGATTGACATGCGAAATTTAGCTTTGAACTGGGGCTCGTCGAAGCACGGAAACGCTGAACGAGCGTAAGTCGGTTCAAAATGAGTCGTTGCCAAATATCTAAAATAATTGTTTACTGTATTGGCGTTGTTCGCTCTACCAACTCGCATGCGTAAGCTATGGAAACATACTGACGCGCCACTTTGATGAGTGGGCGTAGGTGCAAGACTTGGTCCCCCCCAAAATTAATTTAGACTATCAAATTTAATGAAATGCACTTTTTGCCTTATGTTATATTTTTATTGATCTATTATTTGCGCCTATACACTATAATCCGTATATCTGCAATAGGTAAACTCACCTTCTTTCGCCTTTGCTCGTTGTGTAACTGCTTATGTAAAAACCTTCCAACTCTCTGCTCAACCGGGTCGTGTATTTTATAATCAGCGTGTAATTGTGATCGGCGGACAACGTTTCTTCGAACTCCAAAAGTATTTGCTGGCCAGCAGAGTATTCTAACATTCTGGACACTTCGTAAATCTTTTCGTGATTGTCAGCATTCACTACACGCTGTTTGATTATACAAAAAAGTTAAAAATCAGTCTGAGAATCGTGCATTGTAATTATTAGTTATTATTATACAAAAAAACTTACTTTTTCAACTATGGTAAGATTTTTACTGTGAAAGACTATGTAATCAGAATCCCGAACGAGTCTAAAGTTAATTAGTACTTGACCTGTAAAACAATCATTCACGTTATACCTACTACTAAATGTATAACCATTTGCCCGTTTTGTTAAACTATATATAATCGTTTATACCTTTTACGTCTAAGCTGGTTAGATTTGGATGTATTCTAATGTGGTAACTATAGGGTTTAGCAAATGTGGGCAAACGCACGTTGTTCCATGGAAATATGTCGCCGTTGGTAGCGATCGGTATTACTGATCGTGATCTATTGACTCCGTCATCGTCGGGTAAAAACACTGGCTTTTCCCCAATACACGGACAATCTATAAAAAAACGTAAATACAAATTGATATGTGATTGGTAATTTAGTATCGGGCTTATTATAGTTTGTTGTCCTTGTTTGTAAATTATCCACACAGTCATTATAAAAAAATATAAAAAAAATAGAGGGAACGAAACGAGAAGCCGTAATAATAAGTGATTTGTATTTGTACCTATTCAATATTAGATAAACTGTATTAGTACAATTATCAGTTGCCTATAAGAATATATATTTTATTTAAGTTATAGCTGTGTAGTAGATAATTAATCTTTTTAAACCCATGGACCATGGTATATATGGTCGTCGGGTACCCTATAATCATTCTTAAATTAATTTTGGCATAGTCAGTTTCCACCAAGTCATAAATTGGTGAATTCCTTTTTCCGCGATATCTTACAAATTTTAAATGTTTAAATCATAATTGTCAAAAAAAATGTGTATTGTATTTTTTAATTGTGTTAAGAACATGTTGTAACTATTATGAAGAACCTTGTATTCAATTTGTATCTTTTTTAATCATTAATAAAAATGATATCATCCATAAATCGAAAAAAATAAAATATTTGTCTATTTCGATTTAATAATTTATACATTTTTTTTTTATTATAGCAATTTAAAAATGTTTAAGACAGGCACTATTAGCATTTTTATTCCAAATCTTGGCACATTTCATCAAAACTACGAACATTTCTAAATTACTTTTGTAGTTATAATCATTTAATTATTATAATCGTGTTTCCTCAGTTATACTTAAAGACCTTTATTAACAGGTAATATGTGTGTAGTATATAATAATATATGACGTACTGACGAAAAACAACAAATCGTTAAACTCCGACGATAAAAAATAAACACTTGTTACTGGAACATGCAACAGCGATATTAAATTACTATTATTTTAAGCGATATCACGTAATAGGTAACATTTATCCACGTGCATGTCTACGGTAAATTATTGACATAGTTTGCAAACCAAACAACATACCTAGCGCGTTGTTTCGGCGATTTAATTATGGGGTATGATAAATTGAAACCAATTTCAAAGGGGTGGGTATACATTTTTTTCAAGTGCGCACCGATAACATGTAAAATCTAAATATAAACTCCCATCACATAATATTGTCTAAGCATAAGTATTAATTGCGTCGTCGCAAGCTGGTTTAATTTTGTTATACTATTACTTAGGTATCTTTTTTGGTGGCGAGAAACTAACCGTTCTGAGGTCCGGCGTAGGCGATGAGTAAAGAACATAGAAACATGAGGAACAGAGTGGTGCCGGCCATGATCAACGCTGTTCTCCGCGAACACGCCGTGATGGCCGTGTGTTCGTATATCCCAGACTTGTGCATCATGTCCTGATTATCTCCTGGTAAAGAGAAAAATTCAAAAAAATTTTGTCAATTTGGGTAACTTCTACATAATGTTATTATAATATCATGAAAACAATAATCCGTATAGCTATAATATAAGTACAGGCTTGATTACACGAAATTGTCGCGTATCGTGTGTGTGTGTGTGTGTGTGTGTGTGTGTGTGTGTGTGTGTGCGTGTGAGCGCTCGCGTATTTTGTACATTCGATTAAATAATATGTTTATGTTTTATATTATACTCACTGTAATGGTTGATGGCCGTCAAAAAGGCCACGTCTTCGACTTCCGGTTCCACCATCGCGGTACCGTCGATGTCGATGTGCGCCGCACCGTCGTTTTCCCAGTGGATTTTTATTAGTTTTCCGCACTACTAAAAAACCGACGGGAAAGTCGGAAAGACGCTGCTGATGTGCACTGCTGCGAACGGCATATTATCCTATTGACGTTTTTAACCCTCCCAGTGCACATGCGCCCAGCGGCCGCCCACCACGCGCACGACCCTCCGGCGAAAGGGTCGCGCCGCCGCCGCGAGGGGGATGATGATGACCGGACTTGCATCTGCCGCACGCGCCAACATCACGGGCGCTGCAGTGCGTCGAAGTACGCTTACCTACTCTCGATGTATACATAAAATAAAAACTATGTCGTTCGTTATAGGTACGCGTTCTACTGTTAAATGTACTGCGGGTGGTGATCCGTCCGATAAACTTTCGAAAATTCCATTTAAGGTTCCTTATTTGCCACTTGAAATTTTTCCAGTTTTTGTTTCGATTTATTTTGTTTTACATAATCCATGCTATGATCCAATATTAAATATCCGTACCTGCCTATGAATGAAAGTACCTAATTAGTAATCAATGATCACAAAGGGACGACAGGTTGGCTGCATAATGTCTATTATTTCTATGCATCTGATCGTAATTGAACGTCGTCTATATACGAATCAGGTTTCTTAAACGCAACTTTTACCATTTATTAGGTTATACACCACATTCCACGTATTTGATGAGTTGTCACCATTGATTACCTATAGTGACCATAGAATAGTCTATTCTATGATCAATGGTTGTCACATATAATTATGTTTGGTTAATTCGACATTATACTGTATTGTTCATTGCAATATGGGTCATCATGTTTCATATAATCTTATACCTAATGAGGGGTATCTAAAGTTTGACTATTTAGTATTTTATGCTTATTATTAAATCTAGTCATGGTAATATTTATAATATTTAGACTGATATTTAAAATATGATTTATTATACTTACGCATCTCTAATTTTTTGTTGACATGACATTCATATTTATAACCTATTATAATTTGTTATTGTAACTGTTTTCATTTTATTATATTCTCAGCTCTCTAGGTAGACAATTTATTGGTATAATTTCTTTTATGAATAATATTAATTAATTAGTTTTGCATTATTTGAACATGCATATAATTTATATTTTGAAATGTGCAATGAAAATACATCGATACATTTTGTTTTTACAACTTTAAAAACATAGTCTTAGCTATTATTAAATGAACAATACACTAATAATACTTTAAAAAACGTATATTTTATTTTTAGTTTATACATTATTTTTGTCTGTATTCTGTAATAATAAATCATTTTATCTATAAATATACAAGATGATACTTTGAAGTGAACATATATTTATTCAAAATTCATTTACACATAAATCTTACATTTCATATTGCTCTTTTCCTTATAATTGACAGAGAAACTACAACCAATTTTTGATTCTTAAAAAGCAGCCTATATTCTTATTTTCAATATCTGAAGTAGAACATTTTTATGAAAAATATTAATGTATAAATACCGAAATAAAGAAAAATAGTTAATTAATAACCACTTAAATTTTAGTTTAGATGACTGACAAGATGTATGCATGTTAAATATATGGTTCACTACTCCATAATATGTACACTAACAACGTATAACAAATAACCAAATACAAACCAGTTCAGTTTATTTTATACAACAACACATCAAAATGTAATGCTTCAGAATTTAGATTATTATTTTTATTAGAAATGTTAATCAAAACTATCAGTACAATATGTAATTATGATGAAATTATTTAGTGTAAGTACTGGTAAGAGCAATTTACCCATTGTCCGTATGCTTTACAGTTTAGATAACGAAAAGAAAAATATAGGTAGTAATTTAAGAATCATAAATTGAACATGATTTGACCAACTAACATAAAGAAATAAAATAGCAGTATAAAATATTTAATAGTACATATTATCTCAGTAAATAGATATTAAAATAATTAGTGTTATTGATAAAAGAACCACCCTGTACAATACTATTAAAATGATTCATTTTAAAAACTAATTCAAATTAAAATTTAATGTAAAAAATGATAAAACAAACATAATATTATGTTACAAAATACATTAAGTAAAATAATAGTTTAGCATTAAGTAGAAGAAAATATTTTTTTAGTTGCATTTAAAATTAAAATTACTTATAAAATATGCGACTAAATTAACAATCATCATTTCGGTTTTCAATGGTAATTTTCATATTCATTTCACATAAGTTATACAAATTAAGATAAACATTTATGGAAAAAAAATGTAATTAACAGTCATGTTGCACTCTCACGATATACTGCACTTATTATTTTCTTGAACGGTATTCCCATTCGCTTTTTCAATTTCCATTAACATGGTGTGAAATATGTCAGCTACACACTAAAATAAAAAATTCTCATTTAATATAAAATTATCAACTCTGCTAAAAAATAATTAAGGATATCTTGTTTTTTTAATTTTTAGTATATTTTAATACTTACATACAATGTGATGAAAATAAAATTGGATAGAAAACAATACAAATGTTACATAGAATTAGGAAATAAATTAATAATAAAACTATAAAACAAAACAATAAAGGAAATTAACTACTAACTTTTTTTGATGTTACCTCATTCTGCTTGGCTGAAGCTTCAAGAAATACAGCTTTCCAAGAATCTGCTAACTTCCGTCCTTCCTCTTGTGTAACAACACGGTCCATATGCAAATCTTTTTTATTACCTACCAATACTACGGGAACACTAAAAAAAAAAAATTGTAAATGATAAATTCAAAGGTTTAAGGATTACTTATTAGTGATCACCAGTGCTTGAAATTCATGCATTTACTTATTTCTTAGAAAGCTGCCTATTTAAAATCTGATTCAATACAAATTTGTTTTATTATACATACAATCAAATTACAAACATTTATATTGCATATTTTACTATATTTATACGATTTCAAGCATATTAATGCATATTATCTTTAAGATTTAGTATAATAAACAAATAATCAATACTATACAGAGTTAATTGAAAATTTGTTATGATCGGTGTGGCGACAGTCTTATTTAATATTTTGTCAATAAAAAAGATTAATTTTTACCAAGAGCTCGCGGCCTCCATAGTTTCAGAAAGAGTACAAACAATACATAATTTGGTACTATTGATAACATTTTGGTAAATGTAAAAAAAAATATTTAAAAAAGCACAATTATGTATAAAAGTTTTCAAAAATTACGCATATACCAGATGCACCCTTTACGTCCAAAACGAATCAAAACCAGTTGAGGTACCTCAATAGTAGATTAATGTTGTACTTTATTATTGTAAATTCTATACACAAATTTGTAAATTTATATTGGATTTCTACGATGATTTAATTATTAAATTAAAAAAAAATTGTATTCTTATAGAAATACTTATTTGATATTAAAAAAAATAGGTGCGTATTATTCTACATATTTGTGCTTTTTTTATTGCATTAAAACACATATTTCAGTGGTTTTTAGCACATAAAATTCTGAGCCCAGGTAATCACTAACCACTACTTACTGCACTTTGCCAGTCATGTCTAATAATTTATCATAAATTATCTGAATGATTTCAAAAGATTTTGGGGACGTAATACTATAGACTAAGACATATCCATGAATGTCCATAGAATATTGTGTTGGCAATATGGAGTACTCATCTTGTCCGGCTGTATCGACTAATTTTAAGTCATATTCTTGATTGTTGACTTTAGTAGTTTTCACAAAAGCTGAGGATATTAAAGAATTTTCAATTGATGTATCTAATTTAAAATATTATTCTGTGTTGTTGTAGACAGACTTACTGTTTTCAATTGTTGGATCATAAGAATCTACAAATTGACCTTCAACGAATTGAATGCTCAACGACGACTTGCCTGAAAAACCAAATAAACTTGATTTTCATTAACAATAAAAGAATATGTTATCATCTGGAATCGTTAACCGAATACCACCAGTTCGTACGAATAATAGTTGTTTCGCATTTATCCATTTCACTTACCGACTGAACGGTAGCCCATAATGGCGATTTTTCTTTGTTTCGGCGGCATTTTTTTCAGACTGCGATCACTTCATTCATTTATTCTCGACCCATTACCCATGCCATATCATATTGGCCATTGGATTGTACAACTTATACTGAATAGTGAATACTATGCCTAATGATTATAGTATTTACTATTTATTATACGCACAATAATAATATTTTACTACAAGGCTTTAGTAGTATTAGTATATCGTGTAGATTATACAACATGTTAACCGAGTCACCGAGACGAAAATTCGTTCACAAAACACATTGACGGCGTTTCATGGAAAAAAAACCTACTCGTGGTTATTTTTCTTTTTAGAAAACATTCCTGCGATTATTTGAGTTCTATACATTTTTCAGATTTTTGTCTGTTGATTTTAGTATTTTACTATACACGTCCTACCCACCGGATACTATCTTAAATCATGCCAATGGTGTCTGTATTATACATTTATACGATATACCTAGGTACCTATATCAAATATACACCTGTGCATTGAAACAACTAGACCAATATTTTTGGGGGTGCACAAATTATAAAGAATACCCAGACGACTAGACTCCTACCCTGAACACTGTTGGTATATTTATTATCCATTAACTATAACTTCAGATATATATGTATGTACTACCCATATTTTAATATGGATTTAACAGTAGGAGTAGGTAACATATTACTAAGAAATTAACATGATTTTTCTGTCAGTAAATTGTATTTATTTAAATTACTGATAGGTAGATTAGACTTTGAGGACTACGTGGTCAATCTCTCCTGTCTCAATAGTCAATATTATATTTAATCTACTCTGTGATATCATACCTAAGTCTAGCTGGTTTGAAGTTTGAACTATAGAAGTCGAATTGTTTAAAACTGGAAGACTTATAGATCGTTCAATTCTTTTTATGATTATTTTTCTTTTTTTTTAATGTACTTACTATAATACTACTATGTCCTATAGCAGGAGTCGGGAACCTTTTCCTAAGAAAAAGCCATTGTAGTGTTTAAACCCTCCTCCAATTGCCTTTTCCTCCCTAATAAATGTGTTATTTATATTATTTATAATTTATATACAATAACTGTAAACACTTAGTTTAATTTACACTTAACCCCGTCAGCCCCTCCCCTTTCATAATCATGTCTATGCCCACTGCTGCCCCTGGGCCGGAACGCTCTATGAGGACTATAACTCTATCTCCTCCGCTATTAAATCTATATATATTGTTGGTACCTATCTACTCATCCAAGCATATACTATTCTACTGTCGTATTTGTTAATCGTTTATCCTTTTTTTTTCGTAATCTATATGTATAAATATTTTATTAAAAATTAATAAAATTAAAATTTACAGTCTGTAAAATTAAAAACAATAAGGAGTGGTCAAATAGAGAGCAGGTTGCTGTATCTGTCGGGTACGCAGACCGTGGAGGGTTGACCGCGTTTGTATTATTTTACAGAGACGGCAGGTCGCTTTCTGTTGGTAAAGTAAATTTGTTATGACAAAAAGAAAAAAGTAGATGACTTGATGGAAGGTGGCGTTCAATGATACGACTTCAAGAATTATTATATGTTTAAACAAATAAATATAAAATGTGTGATACCTACATCTCAAATGCCACTGTTGGTGAGGGTTTTGTACTATACTTCAGCTGTTAAATAAAAATAATAAAAAAGATTATAATATATATTTAGAATAACTGTTATTTGTAACTTCTAATTTGTAACAACTAACAATAATAGTCAACTGTCGACATTCTGAATTATGATCAGCGATCATAATATTATATATTTATATAGTGCTAGCTGACCCGCCAGATGTTTCCCGTGCCAAAGATTTGTTATTTTTTATAAATGAATTTGTAAAAAAATGTATGTGCTATATTTCTGCTAGTTATTTTTTATTTATTTGTATTGTTGTTTTAACACCCTAAAAAAGTAAATAGTACAGTAACAAAGACAAAAATACATTTTTATAGTGTAAAATAGTTTGAAGCTTTTCCACGACAAACTATTAAATACAATTGTTCGTTATATATTGTAAATAGGTATCTAATTTAAGTTTGGTTGTACAATACAATTTTTTATTTAATTAATGAATGAGAGAAGAAATCAAAATTTGGTAAGTATAGTGTTACATTTATCTAAACATTCTTATAATAGTAATATTTATTACTAATATAATATGTTACCAATATAGCAATAAGTAACAACCCTAAAATAAAAAGCTGAAAAAAAACATGTGTGATGAGTGATGACTAATGAGCTAGGTAGGTACCTATTTTTAAAGCATGCATGTTTTTGGCTGGACGCAAGATGATTGTTTCTGAAAGGTTTTTCGTAAGGTTTTCGTTTGTTATGTTTAGGTTCTTAATATATGTATTAACAAAAACATATTTATGATTCATTGATTTTCCTTGTAGAGGAAATATATCGAGTAGTATGATATGGTTTTCAGCCTCATAGGGCTTGAACAAATAAGCCGTAAACCCGGTTTGAGTATCAAAGATCTATTAATATAATTTTACTTAAAATGATCCAGTATATTTTGAGTCTATTATAAATTACAAACATAGAACAGACAGATCAACATGCATTGAAAAAAATTATATAGGTACATATTAAGATTTATGACTACTAACTATAACTATTGAATTGTATCTTATAGGTAGGTAGTGAATATAAAAAGGTCCTAGGTCGTAGGTAGATATCATTGTATTAAAATGAATTTCTTTGACGTTGCCTGTTTTCGAACATTGGTCATTGAGTGGTGACTGTCAGTCGGAGGTCAACTACCTACTGAAACTGAATTATCAATTAATGATAAAATATGTTAATAATTAATATTACACCTATAGCTAGCAATTTCATCTATTCTGTGATAATAAATTGTACATTCGTTTTTCGATAACAATTTTAAAAATACCTTGTTAGTTGTTAGTTGCCCGTTTAGTCGGAGTAAACAAGTGTACAATATACATCATTCAATTATACTCCTCTAGTCCTCTACCATTTCCTGCAATATCAGTAGGCACTAGGCATGTAGTAGGTTCATCTTACTATAGGTTACTATAAAAAAGTAGTTAGTAATTACCAGTATCATGAGTCATGACCCATATTCAAGATTTTTTATTTATTGGCAAAATATTTTAATTTATATTTTTTAGTACAAAAATACTATTTCTGTAATCCTCAGATACTCTAATGCCGAAGTTTACATAATATATTAATTTTTTATTATGGCCCCTGCAAACGTAAAATTTTTAAGGAGAAAATTGTATTTAGGCAATTATCTTGCTACTTCCGGTCACGGCTCATCGACTTTGTATATGTAGTAATAAATTAATGATCATTAGTGTGTGTATACTCTCCATCCGTTACCTGTATACCTACACATATCATATTTTCATCATTAGATAAAAATATTAAAAACGTTATGGACGTTAAATAGCTGTAGAGCTGACAAAATGCAAGTACTTCCAATTTACCGATTTAAAAATGTAAATATATTTGAAGGCGTAAACAAAATTACTTTGGATTGGCCGGGAGTACTTTTTAAATTTTAGCAAATTCTTGACGGGAGTAAACATTTTAAATTTTAAATTTTAAAAATATTGAATATATGCTCAAACTGCAAAGTAAATTTGCTTAACAAATCAAAAATCTTTACATTTTTTAAACCGAACCACTAGTAGTACCTTAATTTTTGCCAATCGCTGAGGTCGTTTTGACGAAAAATATAGGAGGCTTAAGCAGTTTAAATACTAAGTAGGTACGGGGAATATGCATATTATGAACTAATGTATTACGATAATGACATTTTTAAAATTATGCTGATATTACCACCTGGTGCTGCCACTACCTATCATGAACCAGTGGAGTGCTCGGCTTTTCTTAAAAGGGAGAATCTGCACTTTTGTCCATTCACAGATCATGTTATGTTGCGGTGAATATATTTTTACTGCTTTATCATATTATATTTTATATGACAAAAATAATCCAAAATTGTAAGATATGACATCCTCACCCCTTTAGGTACGCTTATGTCGAGGACTAAGATAGACTTTCCAAGCAACTTGAATGACTATACAATACAATACACGATACCTACAGAGTTATATTATACAAACAAAAAGTAGACCGACAATAATTTAAGAAAAACAGTATAAAATATGTATTATACTAAAACTTCATAACTCCAGTATTCATAATATTCAAATTCATCTATGTCCTGTGTCCTGTAATTACATTTAATCCAGAAGGTGCTTACCTAGTAACGTATTATACATTATTTCAGTGCTAAAGTGCTTAGGTCTGAAACACGTAGTTAGGTATCTATATTAAATAAAACGAAAAATAATTAGAAATTATACAATATTATAGTCAAGGGGCTTGGGGCTATATCACAGAATAGATTAAATTATATAGTATAATACATCGCATACTTTTTTTTTTTAATTGATATATTCCCTGATCCCTCATTGACATTATGTTATTTATATTTCGTTTTGATTGTCCTTGTGAAAAAATTATTAATCAATATACAATTTTTAAAACCATTGCTAGGTAACTAATTAAAAAAATATAATATAATTATTTAAACTTTTAAACATTTTAGTGTTAAAGTTCAATAGGTTGGTACCGTATCATTAATTTTAATTTTTAACTGTAGATTTATGTTATAGGTTGGTAACTTAAGGCCTAGTTGTTGTTTTCAATAAATATAATTTAGTTATAAATTATAATGGTTACTGGTTAGTGTAACAGATTAGCTTGGAAATACTAACCTATATATTAATAATATTTAAGTGTTGAAAATTTATTGCAACACAACAATTTTCTCTCAGTTTTAAAGGAGTTTATTTATTCATTACCAATATATACAGGTTACTCCTTGACAAAAATGTAACAGTGCCATAATAATGAATATAGTAGTAGGACATTCTAAATACCCTATTGACATAATACGTCTTAGTCACTCTTAGAGGCTCATTTCATAAATGATTTGGCGTGTTGGCGCTAGGAATATGGAAGGTTTATTCATTAGGTATTGAAATTTGAAAACGAGATGTACGAGAAGAGGCTTTAAAATTTATTTGGGATAGCAAAAACGGAGAATTAATTTGGTTGTAAAAGAGTGAATACATTTTAATTTTAATATTCTTCTTCGTCCAGCAAGAGTTTAGAGTGTGCAGGTTCGTGATATTGGTATAATTGTGAGCAAATATAAGATAAACTAGAGCACAATATATAGAGATGTTAGTGATTTTGCTAATTTGAAGTTTTTGGAATTTAGGTAGTCGTATCATGAAGACTACAACTTTAAACGCTCTACAAGAAATCATTCCAATGTGAGGATTGGATCAACTAGATCAACAATGCGTACCATTTTCATACTTGAGATATGGATAGTAGTCATAAAGTGTAGATAAGTTTTTTGATTCCCATTAACCATATGCAGTAAGTCGGCTTAAAGATATAAAAACTTATGTTAAACTTTTTTTTGTTTTAATATACACTATATGTATTCATTATACAATAGTAATTTTAAATTGTTAACCCAAGTCGCCCAGGTTAGTTGGCACTGCTGAGTGCTTGCCCAAAAATTACAATCTCCTGTCACCAACCGTTATTAACAATACAATTTACTGATTATACTAATTGTTATTACTATATAGATTTTAAACAATTTTAATAATTAAATAAAAAACTTAAATCACCGAGCTCATATTAAGTAAACACTAGATTCTACCGATTAGCTAAATTGAGAATACCTATAATTGTACCAGAGATATTAATTTTGATGAGTGAACGTCAGACTCACTAGTTGCTATAGGGAATATATTGGAATTAAAAGTTGTCCAAATCATTGTGAGTTCTGCCATTCGTGTTTATGCTACGTAGATTTTAGTTTCTTAAAAAATTTCAAGCTACTCAAAATATAGAGTAAAAATGGTATATTAAAAAAAAATGTTGACATCTTAATCATACCAAATAGGACGTACGTTAACATAATATTTGTATGTTACTAAAAGAGAATACAGTTAATATAGAAGTAATTTGCATTACACAATTTACAGACTTTACCTATACTTTAGATAAAAATATAATTAATAGGCATGCAATGTATGCATACACATATTTTTTATGATGCCCTATTTATATTTATATCAAATTAGGTTCGAGAAGTGTTTAAATGGTCCTGAATCAAATATATATTATTTACATACTTTAGTTTTAATAAATATTATATTTATAATATAAATCTGAACTATAATTATCTATTATCTGATGATTAGCGTATACTGTATACCTTTTATTCATATTTCTTAATTGTTTCTGCATCCTTAAATTTATTGTTGTGTTAAAATTCATAATTTGAATTACATTTCATTTGTATAATCTATTAAGAAAAATAAATAACTTTTTTATGTATGTAAATATGAATATATTTATTTTCTTAACATTATATTATATATTTATTTATTTACTATAATTATTTTGTCTGAAAGACCAAGTTACATACAAATACATAGTATTTTTATTTCAATTAAGCACCAATAAATTGTACAAAACATACATATTAAGTTAAATAACAATTAAGTCCCTATATAGATGGTAGAAAATAGTATTTTATACATTCTAGAATAAGAAATTAGTAAATATTTACATAGGTAACTTAGAAAAAATTCAAAAAAAAAGTAGAATAACAAACTAAATGGTAAATTATATGAACATTTAACAACACACATATAAGTATTATTTTAAGCATCATATTAATAATTCAAATAAATAAGTCGTTGATATGGTTTTTATATTTTCATGATATACAGCATTTATTATTTTCTTGAACAGTATTTCCATTTGCTTTTTCAATTTCCATTAAAATAGCATGGAATATATCAGCTACACACTAAAATAATAATAATAAAATAAAAAAACACATCTCTATTGACTCTATTGACAGAGCCTCCTAGTTTTAAGAGTGATATATATATATATTATGTTTTGTATTTATAATATATTCACTTAAAATATTGAATAAGATAGAAATTTAATTGAAGAGTAAATAAATAAATTTAATAATTAAATAAATAAATTACTAACTTTTTTTGATGTTACTTCATTCTGCTTGGCCGAAGCTTCAAGAAATACAGCCTTCCAAGAATCTGCTAACTTCCGTCCTTCCTCTTGTGTAACAACTCGGTCCATATGCAAATCTTTTTTATTGCCTACCAATACTATAGGAACACTATGAAAAAAAAGATAAATAATAAACCCAAAGATTTAAGGATTACTCATTAGTGATAAAACTACAAAACTACTTACTGCACTTTACCAGTCATGTCTAATAATTTATCATAGATGATCTGAATGATTTCAAAAGATTTTGGTGACGTAATGCTATAGACCAAGACATATCCATGAATGTCCATAGAATATTGTGTAGGTAATATGGAGTACTCGTCTTGTCCGGCTGTATCAACTAATTTCAAGTCATATTCTTGATTGTTAACTTTGGTTGTTTTCGCAAAAGCTATGGATATCAATTAGATAGTATACAATTATTTACTAATAATACAATTAAAAGTATTGTATCTTCAACCTATAATTTATATAACAATAAATCATTTTAGAATTTCTAGATAAACTTACTGTTTTCAATTGTTGGATCGTAGGAGTCGACAAACTGACCTTCAACAAACTGTATGCTTAATGACGATTTACCTGAAAAAAATAGACAATGAAAATTATATATACCTAGTCAACTTTAAAAACTCATTTGTTTTATTTAATTTGGTATGAAATGTATTAAATTGATTAGTTTTATTCCGTTTTGTCTACATACCGACTGAACGATAGCCCATAATAGCGATTTTTCTCTGTTTCTGCGGCATTTTCTTAGTAGGGGATCACTTCATTGAATAACTTATAAACAGGTTAAACTGTAATGTGTTTTTTAATTCACCAACTATTAACTATTAGTTATTACCTAAATTCAAAACAATAATTATACTTGAATGCAGTCACACCATGTCACACAGAATACGACTTGTTCGTCTTTATGATAATATTCAATATTGATAATAGAATACAAGCAGGTAATTACGTTTTATTTTTATTTTTTTCAGCTTTGGTTTCTGTATTTTGTTTATCAGTAAATGTTTTAGGTTATGTTTGGTTTCACATATATTCACTATTTAGCATTCAGCCTTGAGTTTGGTGATCTGAGATTAATAAACGTATATAAATTATCATAATAATATTATAATCAAGTACCTATGAGTATTCTCAGTATTCGAATACTATAATATAATTAAATACGTCGTGAACAAATATTATTTATAATCGTATACCTAAATTATATTTTTATACCTACTACTTACTAGCTTCACGGATTCATGAATATTTTAGACTGTGATGCCCTTTATCATTGTAGAAGCCAGATTGTATATGCTTATGAGTCATGGCGCTCAACGCTGTTAATCGTTTGTTAAACTTTGTTTAATACTAAAGTCACTCTGTAGTAAGCTGGTCAATATAATATTTTATTATCTGTTGAAGTGGATACGTGTACCTACTTATTAGTTATTATTTATTAGTATTATTACCTATTTGGATTCCAATTTCCTATGTTCCTATACGAGTAGTAATTATTAATAGTATATAGTAGATATGTGTTACAATTTTAAAATTTCACACTGTACAGTGTACAAGTGAACTAAATAGTAAATACCAATAATATAACTAAAATAAAATAATTCCGAGTTATTCATTAGCCATGTAGGTACCTAAAATACAAGTTACAACCAAACATAATACAGAAGTCAGATTCAGATAATCCTTATCCTTATATTCTCTAAGCAGGCTGCAGCGTAATCCATTCTAAGGCGTAAAATCTAGGCATTTTATGTTGCACTGTACACGGGTTATGTCAATGTGTTGGAAGTAAATGAATATTACTTATTAGTGTTTGCTATTCCCGGAGTTACACTGACCACGTTGTTAGGAGCATTATAGTGAGCGGATACGTATGTCCCTTTACCTTGGCGCACGCACATGTCAAATAACTATTTTTCCTGAAATAATTTGTTTTCCAAAAAATAAATACAAGGCTTATAAGTACTATTGTACTTTTTTCATATTCTATATCAATGTATTTAAATTTGAATTAAGAACGTCATGATCTAATTTTACTCTGGGTCTTATAAGTTATAACTGTGTGCTTATGTGAGCTACTGTGTATAAAATAAATAGCAGAGCGCTCACGCACGTGTACGGTTATGTTAATAACACAGTACTTTACAGTTTACACACTAATGACAAATGTGAATTTTGGTGAAACACTGAAACTTAGTGAAACTTAGCGAGCATACAAAAAATCACTTTACTTACTGCACCAACAATACACTCATACACGATAAGTTCTCAAATGATTTGTATCAAAAACTTATAGCTTAATGTTTAAAGAGTGCGTTGTAGATAAGAAGTTTAAGTAAAAGTATAAACATATATGTAAAATTATATACATGGTAAATTATTTGTTTGACAAGTAGTTGTGTGCAAATGTCCTCATCGCCTCAACACAAAACCGACCACATTGGAATATTGAATTCCGTTTAAACCATGTTTAAAGGCATGAAGTATTAATCATGGCGCGTTTGTTTAATTGTGGTATCCCTGCTAAGTCCTAATCCACGGGTACAAATAAATCGTCAATTTTATCCACACTTTCACCACAAAGTTGTTAAGTGTTTATGATCAAAGATAGGTAAAATTTTTTTAAAATCTATTTAAGATTGTATGCTTGATTTGACGAAAGATCAACTCAAGTTGACTGCAATAATTTTTAAAGATTAAAAACATTTTTAAATAGGTAATTTAAACAATTTTTTTGATGATGGAAATAATTGGGAAATTCTTTACATAAAATGTACAATGTAAAAAAATACTTAAGTTGAAAAAAGCTTAAGTTTATTGGGTACAGTTATTATAACAGTTGAAAACCCGGTCATTAGTATATAAGGTCTCTGCTAAATTCACAGTTTCACGTCGGACGCATAAACTTATGCCGATTTTCAGTGTAGTTACTGATTTTACATTATTTTATTTATTTACGTATTTTCCGGTGGTTAATCGAAGAGAAGAAAGAAGACAGTTGTTAAAATAATTTTTGTACCAGTTGGAAACTTATGTGTTATTCGAAATTGTCAGATCTCTCTTTCATTGAGGATGACTGCAATAACGTTTTAAATGTATTATATTATATAATATTGTAACATTAATCATTGTAAAAACATTAAATACTAAGATGGTATGTTGAGACGATATAATATTAAGCTCAGAAAACAGGGTGAATGATGGATTATGTTTACCTAACCGCTTTACTGAACAGTGGCCTGGTATACCGTAAGTATACCTAAATATTGTGTTACACCATGTGCAGTGTAAAATAATTTTCTCTGATTGGCCATTAAGTCATTAAGCCATTACGGTATACCATATCAATATTTGTATTTTATTACATGGTACCACAATAACCAAATGATACCGCATAGTTGAATATATTCAACTTTCGGCTGTGTGGTTACAGTTGAATAATGTACAGAAAAGTGACGACTAAAAAAAAAATGTTAGGTAAGATATGCAGGTAAAATATTTTCATATCATTGGTATTTGCATTTTGGTATACAGATAAAAAAAAGCACGGCACGAAGGTAAACAGACATACGGAACCTACTCCCCTAAATTTGAATTTAATTATATAAATCATACCTGGTATTGGATCTGGTCGGCCACATGTAGTGTGACCAATATGATCGCCTTGTCAAAATGAAATTCAAAATCTGATTTAAACTAATTAGGGCCGTGTTCGACCAACTACTCATTCCCTAATAGTAATATAAATATAAATAGTATGTTAATATAATTTATTAATTAACCAGCCACACTGGCACACTGTCATTTTTGTCAGTTTCGTTACTGACTTGGGTTACCTGCCTTGTAACTTTTGTTGACGTTGTACACAAATAAGCTACTGAAGTGCCGAACAGTGAATAGTAAAATGTAAATAGTCATTTCACGGAAAACTGTCGCCACGATTAAAGACAATATTCATTATTATATAATATATCTTTAAGCCAATTAATTAAACTAAGAAAAAATAGGACAAATCGTGAATGTATCTAATGTAAGTATAATCACCTTGCTGTAGGAGCAGTAGCCTGGAATACTGTACACATGGTCATCGAGTAATTAATTGTAGTGTTCAATGTAAGTATCTAAATATTGTGTGAAATTTGAATTCAATTATATAAATCATTGCATACGAAAAACGAATCTGAGTGAAGACCATCCTTAGCATATTATAATACTATAAGTATAATAAGTATATGTGAGTATATAATATACTATACATAATACATATATTATAAGTATAATATGTTATGATATATTTATTTTGGTACCAATGGTACCGTAGTAATTTATGTTAATATTAACTATTAAGTTATACGATCGATTGAACTATTTTTGTCTGAAAACCACTTCACAAAGGTGTAGGAAAATTTATGGGTATTTCTGAACTGCAGTTTGTCCTCAGAGAATCAGAGAACGTTAGATGGAAATAGTTGGAAAATTCTAAACATAAAATGTAAGATGTAAAAACAACTAAAATTTAAAAAAACTAAGGCTACAATTATATTGTTATTGAATACAATTATAACATAATTCACTGTCGAGATATTACGATAATATAAATAAACATACTCATTTTTTAAAATTATTATTATTAATTAATCCGTGTCAACATTGGGTAGTTTTTTTTAATAGGTTTTTAACTGTGGGGGTAGGGTACGGTTGGCTTGGGATACGTGTATGCGTGGCAAGGATTTGCCACTAAGAACCCGTGTGGTCACTCATCTTAGAACTAGTGGCATAGGCCGATGCTGGCGATCACCTAGGCAAAGATATTTTTGATTTTTATTTAATTGCTGTAGATAAAAAATGTTCACTCGGTCAAAAAATTTTAAAATTGTATACAAGGTTCCTAGTCAGTTTTTGTTACTGGAAAATAAAAAAGAGTTGAGCGTAAATCCACAAAATTTTCTTGACTTTCTGAAGTTTTGACAAAATTCTAGTTTATCTTAAATTCCCGTTTTTCCGGTTAAGTATATTGAAAAGTACTGAGAATGTTGACCTCCTTTAAGACTATAGGTACATTTATTCTATCCATAAATTATTGATTCGATTTTCTTCCTGAAAATGGTCTTAAAGTTGATAATCAAAGTATTTTTAGTGCTCTAAAAGGTGACACGACAGTAAAAAAAAACACAATTTATTGTTATATTGTATGTTTCAATATTTGCATCCACTCTGCACCTCAAATGATAACAAAGTTAACGTACCTACTTATTAAGTACATATATATTATAATTTATACACAATAAACACATATATAGATGAACCTATAATAAATAATAACATCCATAAGACTATAACCTACTTGTCTAAAACTGAAAACAGTGATCATCATTCGTCAATTGATGCGCTTTAAAGAATCGAGATCATTTGGTCATTGATCACATCAGGCGACGAAGCCTCGTTGATGGAGTGTAAAATCGAAGCACATCCGGATCGCATTGCGGCGCCACTCCACTGTCAATTTTACGGCTATTTACTATTTAGTAGGTACCTATTTATAATATTTTGTGCGGTGTTTTTATAAATAACGACTGAATTATTTAACGAATTCTTATACCGGAAAATAACCATTTCAAGGTGTCCAAACTATATATTTTTGTTGTGCGTATGTATAGGCAAGTTTGGAAATTTGGAATCATATATATATATATCTAATATCTATGTACTCCATAATACATGTTTGATACTAAATCCATTATATTAGTATTTTCTCATGTAGTCAGTATACTGCAATAGGTATATCGTATAAACCTATTATTTATCTTTCACTCTTGGTGTAATCCTTAAATATATAGGTATACATAATATAATTCTTATTGCATCCGGTTCACGTCATATCATTGACACTTCAACTGTACATCATAAATGAGATATCATGTAATTAAGATTTATTATTGGCACACACTGGGATAAATACTTCGGGCATCAACGGACCTTGTATACACTTTTATATAGGACATAGGTATAAGCGTGTTTCTTGATAGAGATCGATTTACTTCATTGCTGTTCGCAGTGTACACACATACAATATAATATATATAACCAAATATACACGTCATATTTTCATATTTAGGTATTGAGCAAGATGCGTTCAACTGTTCAAGTTGCACAGACTCGCACAGTACCTAACTACTCAGCATTTATATTTGATTGATCATGGGATATTAGGATCGCTTAATATATCTATGGTGAATCTCACACAGTCGTATTTAATGAGTGACTTTTATAGAAACAAACAAGATTACCATAACGTAGTTAGGTGTATATAATTATATACACTTTATTTATAAGGGTTGAAAACAATTCAAATATTTTCATCCCTGAAAAAATGCAGTTTTGGAGCTTGTTTAAATGGTTTAATAGATAGATAGGTATTCCAAGATATGAACCTATACAATAATATGCATTATTCGACTAAATTTCGATAAACCTAACCTAATAAACCCTGCATGTCACCTATATACAATGATTTATATTATTAAACATTAAATTAAATATGAGAGTTAAGCATATCGACCTATGGTTACCCAAACCTATATAAGATATGAAACAGTATTTATATTATATTATATCTCACCTGCACGCAGTTGTGTAGGTACCTACAGCGCACCGAGGAGTACTCTGCAGGACACGGACGGCGGGATGAATACAATACAACATTATATATGTATAGTGGGAGTGACCGATGGGAGTGTCTGCGAACGTCCGTTGGTGGGAGACTCCGAAACGCTCGCGCCTCTCGTCGGCGGGCGCGTCGGGCTGCACGTCGTCGCGCGACCGTCCGTGGACCGTTCGTCCCCGCAGCGGCAGCAGCAGTAGTAGTAGTAGTAGTCGGCTCACATCCGCGGTCCGGACGCGCACGATGCGATCGAAACACAGCAAAGTCGGGCGCGCCGTCACCCCGCGGTAAAAAAAAAAAGCGAATCGAATAAAACTGCGCTGCAAATCCGACACCTACGAGACAACTGCATAATAATTATAACGATATTATTAAATATGTTTTCGTGTAATTTGAAAACGGCCTAAGACGGCTTGACCGGTTTTAAATAATATTATAGTATTGTGACAGTTAAAAAAACCGTCGTGAGTTTTTCTGCAGCCGACGCCGAGATATGCGCCTGGTGCGGATGACGTCGGATCACAGCAAGAAGAGGCGCCGCGGCCCTTCGTCGGCGGACCATCATGGCGCGGCCACCACCTCGTCGTCTTCGTCGTCGTCCTCTCCGCCGTCCGAGGACTTGTGGTGGACCGAGGCGGCCGTCAACGAGGTGACCGCTGAGCACCCGGGCGAGTTGGTTCGAACCGGGTGCCCGTACATGCTGTGCAGTGCCCTGCCCACGCACTGGCGGTCCAACAAGACGCTGCCCGGCGCGTTCAAGGTGGTCATACTGTCCGAGGTGCCAGACGGCACGGCCGTCACGCTCAAGGCCGGCAACGATGAGAACTGTTCAGCCGAGCTGCGCAACTGTTCCGCCCTGGTCAAGAACCAAATCGCCAAGTTCAACGATTTGAGGTTCGTCGGGCGAAGCGGACGAGGTAAAGTGCTCATATACTCACAATATACGTCATATTAATTTATTTCACGAAGCATAGTCATTTTGTAGTCGTGATGCGGGGGCCGGGGGTCATGACGAAAAACCTCCCAAAGACAACTATAGCGTGGGGGACTAAATCCCTCCCAAGTGATGAAAAATGAGCTGTCAATTTATTACTATTATATTATATATCAGAATAACAGGCCGTTTATATGCAAGTAGATATCATATTATCTCACATTAAAGCAATATAGTGTATTGTATTAAATTATTCAATGGATCTGGTTTTTATCTTAATAGCCGGTCCACTTACTTGTAGCAGATAATATCTAAAAAAGAAAGAGTTAAATTATATTCGTCATCATCACGAATGTGTTTAAATTCATAGTTTCATTATGAATACTCCATGCAATAATATTATACATTAAAATTTATTAAATTCTGAGCGGAATGAGTTTTAAAATTACCTGTATATTGGTTTTTTTTTGTTCGTGTCTACTGTCTACCATTAAGTTTTGGAGCAAAAATGTCCTGTTCATATTTAACATCAAGGGTTTTTACTTTTTTTCTCATAGAAAATTTGATCCATAAAAAAAAGGATGGTTAGTATAGTTATAGTTTAAGACCAACAGTTGACAATTCTCAGTAGGTAGGTACTCTTCATAATAATTAAATATCAACGATGTTGGCTGTAATTAAAAATGTATTAATCGTTTAGACTTGAAACTATTCAAAATTAAGTAAATTATTATTTTCTATACACAATATTATAACCTTTCGATTATTTAGATAATAATTTGAATTCAATAAATATATTTTTTAAATTAACTCTAGAAAAAAAATGTTTAACACAGAAGTATTCACACCTTTTGTCAGTATAGGATATAAGATATGAATTATATTACATCATGCGATGTCTTTGACAAAAATAAGTTTAACCTACCAAATTATAAGAGTTCTGAATAGGATAACATAGACTATAATTATAGCCTATATTATATTATAAAGGTATGTACTGATTTGTGTACAATATCGATTATGTATTTATGTTATATTGATTTACATTTAATTACAGCTAGTTTTTAGAAAATATTTTATTATGGAGATATTTTGTCCTTACTGTCATTGCATTTGAAGAAAATATTCGAAAATCTCCGTATATTGTCCCATATAAATATTATAAAGATTTATTGTAAGCACACTTTCCAATATTTGTATGTTTAGGTCTTTTGCGTTTGTTCGAATTTATTATGATAGCTTTCGGTCTTTTCGGGTATTCTTCAGTATACATGGACCGTGCGTTTTTTCGAAAATTCGGATTCTAAACTGGGGTTTAATAGACTGTCCTTATCCAAGTTATTTTTGCTTCAAACCATATAAGTAACTATCTCGTGTACGGGTAAATTTTTATAATAATATTAGATTATACTCGTCCTACTATATTTGATTATAATTACACTTGGATCAGCCCTTATTTTTGTGTGTAGTACGAATTTAAAAAAGGTGCCCCCCACAAACTTGATTAATATATTTATAGAAAAATTATGCAGAATTATTATACAGTATATAATATTATAATATTTTATATTATTTTATGTTTGATGAATTAAAAATAAACATATAATAACGATGATTGATGATAAAATCTACTTCATTATATTTGATTTTAATGTCTGTTCCTACTGTATGATCTACAATGGTTGTGTATTTGAGGCGAAACTCGCACAGTTAGATATGTTCAACCTACGCAGACTAGATAATATATATTCAATATTTCAGTATTACTCCGAGTCAGAATTGTATGCCTACTCCTATTGAAAAGCGAAATTGTAAATATGCTCTAGTAAGTCATTGCAAATACTGAAAAAAATACAACCTTTAAGTTAATTTTAAATAGAAGTATGGCATTTTCTTGTAATACATAAATGTTGATAAGAATTGTAAGCATACCTCGTGATTTGGTGTAGTTATAATAATTCACCTACCTATATTTGTTTTCAATATTTGAAAGTATGGTTGGATGTATTCAGTAAGTTATACGCAAAATAAATATTTTGATCTGGAGAAACAGCATTATCTCTTTTCTTTTTCTCTATACATAAAATATAAATTTATAAAAACAATTATACTTCCAGCTATATTATACTATCTATGAGTGCAGAAAATTGGTTCCTAGTTTTAGTACCCTTATGCAACACCTATATACTATGTAATCAAGTCGAAGGTTTGTGCTTCTGATAATGGTTATTTTTAAATTGGTTTACTTATGTATAAATCTAAATAAAGTTTCTATAACAAATTGGAATTATTTTATATAGGTTATTTGTTAAGACTTATGCGAATATTATTTTTGTTATTTATTTTTATGTGCTTAAATTTAAAACAGTAAATATATTAAATAAAAAAGTATTTGAAAATTTGTATTTTAGTTATTTAAAATATAGATACTTTGAGAAGGTATTTAAAGAACTACGCCAAACACTCAAAGTACTTGTTTTTAAATATTTAAAATTAGTGTTTGAGTACTTAAAAAGTATATTTTGAATACGTTAACTCAAGTACTTTACAATACTAGTGTTTAAGTTAACTAATGAGGTCTATTGGAACTTAAGTTCACTGAGTATATTATAATACTAGTATGGTGCTAATTAAGAGCTAAAACCAAATTATTTTTTTTTTTAAATTCAGATATGTACCCAATTCAAAAAAAAGTATATTATATATTTTTAGAAAAAAATTCTGCGAACTCTGTCCCTAAATAATGTAATTTATCTATCTTTATATCATGTTGAACAACAGCTGTTGATAATGCAAATTTCGCGTGGCATTGGAAATTTTGAAAATAATGAGTAAGTTCACAATTATTTCTAAAAGTGTTTGTGTTAATTATATTTTCTATTTTGAATGTGCGATTAATTTCCGAACAGTTTCTGTAAAACATAAAATCTCATAAAAATATTTATATTTTAAATATAAATGCGTTTGCATTGTCTCCATAACCTGGACATATTGTTTGAACACTTAAGCTAATTGGTCATTACTAAATCTCATAGAACATAATAAAGCGATAATAATTATTTATATACCTGTACGGGGAAAATTATTATTTTACATTTATTATCATTCTCGCATGTAAAGCCAGTAAAAAAAAAATTGAATAGTTATGAATTAAATAATATACTATAATAAATAGGTAAAAACATTCTTTTTAATTCGTCGCACCCTCCACCCATATTGGTAAAAGAGCTAAGGCTGAAAATATACCAATATTATGCTGCAGTGCATTTTGTCTTTTGTCCTTTTTTGAACTCGTTTGGGACATATATTTGTGCGGTTTTTGAGATATCAGTTCGGAGGTCTCGTTTTATTTATTCATACATAATATTATGCACTATACTGCTGTAGGTAATTAAATTGTGGCCTGAAACTTCTAACCCGATGTTCTTTAACGTCCTTTAAAGGACCAAGACAAAGGACAAAGAGTCTTTGTTGTTGTGCTTTTTCGCCGACACATCACTTCGCGTGAGCGCTCGAGGCGCTTCCAGACGGTGGATTGGAGTTGTTTTTATTTTTTCTTTGAAAACTATAATATAGGTACGTTATGATTTTTTTATTTCCTATCAGAAGATGCAAAAACAAAAAAATCAATTTGCAATAACTGTCGCTCTAAATCTCTTTTACTATCATTTATGCACAATTACTCGGTCACATTTCGACACTATACTATAATATTAATTTACGCCGCTCTTTGATGGCTGCACTCATCTTCCTTTGCCGGACGCATGCAATTACTTTGACGACAGCAACTGCAGAGCCACAGAGGGGAAAGGTGGAAAAAAACTCGCCCATTGATGTATTGCGCATTTGACAGGATTTTGTGGTCGCAATCTGCGCAGGCCCATCGCGATTTTACCACGCGTGTATTATGTATAATATGTACCTATATGCCACAGTAATAACCAATAGTGAGCTATAAAAGATGTTATACTGTTATATCTTATAATATTGACGTTTTCATATAACACACGCATATAAAATTAATTTAAAAAAAGTTAATGACTATAATATCCTCCTTAATAGTTAATAGCAGGTACCTAATTAATGGTTCGTCAGCTTGCAGTGTATTACTATACTATAAGCTAATTACCTATACTGCTATGAATTACGATTATAATATTCTATTTACAACACTAAGAAACATAAAATGTATATTATATTAAATAATATTAACAAATGTGTATATATGAAAACAAAAGCTCGTGTTGAAAATTAAACGCGTATTCAATTACCTATTTGATGTTCAAAGCTATACTTATATATATATATATAGTAAGTTATATAATCATATAATAGTCCTGTTGTTCCAGAATACGCAACAGAAACCGCGGCTTGCATATGAATTATAATTATACCAATATGACTCATTCATTATCCTCCTTGATCCTGAAATTAATTAGTTAAACTGCAGATGACGTGTCCCGGTGAGTATATCGTCATATCTCGTAGCACCTGGGCCTTTCTAGTTTATACGCGAATTGCGGATACTCGGGATACCCATACATAACTACCTGCAGTAGTGCTAGCGATATAATAGTGGCTAAATTACCCGAAGTGCTCCCATAACGATTAATACTACATTTATTTTTTCGTTACTCAAAGTGTGTATGCCGATAATACCTATAATGTTTGGATGTGATTTTTTTTGAGAATTATTTAAGACCAGTTTTTTAACTTGGGGCAATCGAACTAAGAATTAGGTTCCAAGTAAAAACACCAAAAATTAAAAACTTTGATAATGTTTTTAATATTAAATTCTTTATGGTGCGAATAATAAGTTTTACTGTTTTAGATTCTGGTTAAATCCATATAGTAACAGATTGCTATTTGATAGTACCTATTACATTACAACGATATTTTCTTTTACACATTTCGTATTGTTTTTTTTTTTTTAACTTTTGGTACGTGGTAAAAAACTTAAAAACATATTTATAATTCACATTGAATAAAATAATTTCTCATCTGGATGATATAATGAAAAGGTAATTTTTTATTTGTTTTGTAGTTTTCCTGAGCAGAAAAGGTTAGGTTAGAAGCGATAAAAAAGCTAGGTATTGAAAAGAAACAAACTTGAAAATGTCAGTAAGTGTAGTTTTAATAAAGCTTAGCTGCTGACTGCTCACAATATTTTTCTAATGTAATGATTCCTGATTTATCATTAATTTCAAAATTAAAATAATAAATAGTAATATATCACTTTTCTATATTTTTGGCGAAGCAAGACTAGTGCTTTAGTAGTGTCTTTATATACCTATCCGGTCTCTGCATCGGGTCCAGGTTTTTTTCAATTAAAAGCGTTTTAAAATAAATACATAGGTTTTTTTTTTTTTTTATAGAGTTTTTATGTACCTACGAACGTACGTTATTACTTATTATTATTATACAATATAACATCAATGTTATGTGTTTATATATTATACAGTTGTCATGCACAACATAGTTGTAACTTATTGTATAATTTAAATATCTTCACGCAGTTTATTATTTAAATACTAACAAATAATAATCTATAATAATCGATGGTGACGCGAATAGGACTTGATTATTGCTTCTCTAGCGCCGTTTCTACTATTTTTTTTTTTTAACAATATCATTCTTTTATGAAGAATTATGTGTGTCATATACATAAGTTCTGTTGAATGACTAGAATGAGTCATAAATATTATGGCCATGTCCCATATAAAATTTGAAGCTGTAAAAAATGAATTATTTTTATTTTTATTATATATCTATATGTATATTATGTACTATAGAACAACCATCTTTGTAAATTTATTATGTCGTATTGTAAATAGTCATATGAAGATTAGGTTTTAAGTAGGCATATACAATAATATGCGGTTATATTATTTTTACATGAAACTCATTTTCTCTCTTTTTATTTTTATTTTTAAAATTGTCCTCACATCTTGTCATATGAACTTAATGATAAGGACATATAATTTGACTTAAGTATAGCAGTCCAAACTATAGATAGATAGGTACTGTATACATTTTCAGCCTACAGTATTATGTTTCTAAACATTTTGTATAATTTTAGTATTAACAATATAATATGAGAAGTGGGAATTGGTTATATAATGAATAATATGAGCGAATATCTCCGACTTCGGGGCATTTACCGGGTTGTCAATGGATATAATATTTTCGGTAGCCTTTTCATAATTTATTTTCTCAACTAATTTTGAAAATTTGTATTTTGTATTTTGTATTTTGTATTTTGCATATAATTATAATTTATATACTATTATTATTATAACATTTATTTTGAAAGAAAATGGTTTTTTTCATTTTTGTTATTTCTTATCAATGATGTTCAATAAGATTTTAGTAGTAAAAAAAAAAGAAATTTCACTTGTGGGTTTAAAATTAGTTAGTTAATAATCTAAATAAATCTAAATCTTTTATAGGTTGGTACTAAATCTAAGCCGATTTTTGAAAACTAATAATTATTATTTATTAATCTAGCTTTGATCAATACATAGAATCAAATATGTTTTTAATGACAGTTAATTCCAAAACAATATGTATTTATTTTCAGGGAAAAGTTTCACGATCACCATTACAGTTTCGACGTGTCCACCTCAAGTAGCGACGTATAATAAAGCAATCAAAGTTACCGTGGACGGACCTCGAGAACCACGATCCAAATCTCGTAAGTATTTTAATGTTAAATCATAAAATTCGTCGTTATCATATTTGAAACAACAATCATACATAATTTTGAACTTGAGTTAAGACTCGTGGTAGATACTTAACGACTATACGCTTTTTTCATGTTTTTATGTTGCCTTTATTTAAATTGCGGAAATTGAACATTTTAGAAGATAACATGTGGTCGTCTGTAATACAATAATATATAAAAATACTATTATCTAGACACGTTTTTATACTTCTGCAGTCTTGACTTCCCTCAATTACGTTCAGTTTAATTCCACTAAATTTTATTTATACGTGTATCTATATTTTATTGATATCGGTAGGTATAACAATAACACCAAAAAGCGTGACTTTGATGTGAATAGGCCCCGGAAAACCATGTGGCAGACCTCCGGGTAGTTTTTACAACTGTAAATAGGCTCAATTATTATCATTATACATATTATTATTTAAACACGCAGCCCAATTTGAGTTGCTTTACTATTTGGACGTGATCGGTAGGTTCACAATAAAAAAAAAAATAAATTAAAAAAAATATAATAATCATAATAATAATAATAATAACGATAATCGATAGGACAAAATATGACAAACAAATATTTTTGTGAATGTAAAAATGTTTTGTTTTGGTCTATGAGAACTAATATATACATTTATCAGTTGACGATAAATATTTTTTTTGCATTTCGGCAAAATATGCTGTACGTTTTCGTATCGTTGTACAATATATTATATTTTATCTCGACCGCTAACATCCGTGGGAACCACTAGTGGTAAATTAAAATAAGACTATATTTTCTAAACTTTTACTAAATTTAGTTATCATTTGTTCATATGTGTACTAAAATAGTATATTTTAATATTATCTGCGAAGAGTTAATATTATTATTGACCTTAAAATATATATGCATAATAATTTTAATATTATTAATTTAAAGGTTGAGAATAATAGTATATTAATAAATACTTTAATATAATGACAATTCATGGTTCTTAAAACATTCAATTTGTTTGAAATTGAGGAAAATAATTCATTGAATTGAAGTAAGTACACTGGTGTCAAATTGGGGGGGGGGGGAGAGTATAGATTCCCGCATGACCTTTTTTTCTATGGTTAATATCTGATAATCATAAATTATATTTTTTATAAATTTATAATCAAATAGTGCATGTTAAAAAATCAGCTTGACAAAATCATTTGACTACTACTGAGTAGGTAGGTATGGTAGAAAACTATATAATTTCTTATTTACAGGTATTTCGGTCATATTTATGTTATTGAGACCAAATAGTGTGGTTATAGAAGATATATTAAAGAATAATTAAACACTTAAAATAGTGTATATAGGTACCACCTACATAAATCATACAGTAACATATTTTTATATGATCAACTCCAGTTATAAAATGTCCATATTTATATTGGAAATTTTGTGCTTTTTGTTTTTCCTGTACACCAAGGTCCTCCTCATCAGTTCCGTGGATTGGGCCTCGGTCAGAGGCCCTTTATGGAAAATGCATCGTTTTCCAATCATTTGCGGGAGTTGGATACATACCGCCGAGTGAAGACCGAAGAATCACCCGTCCTCGAGCAGACGTATCGGTCAACAAACAACCAAGGTAAAGCATATAAATTAATATTGATTTTATTTTGGTTAAAAAAATGCATCAAAAGTACGCCGCTCGTATGTAATACATAAAGTGAACCCGATGACGACCGCACTATATACAGGGCTGACCGCAGCTCTGAGGTACACCGCAGAATTTAAGGAGCTGCCGGTAGCTTTTTTCAAACATGATTAACCATGGTTCTGGTTTACCTAAAATGTGTAGAACAACCGCGCACTGTATATTAATGAATGAATCAAAGTAATCAAACGTTAGAATGAATGAAATTGTTTGTCCACAGAAAGAAAAAAAGTTTATGTATTTAAAAACCACTTTGTTTCTGTACTAATCATTTTATTGTAAGGATTTACATTTTTAACTTAACCGGATTGATGATCATCTTTGTTCATTGATTAGCGATCACATGTAGTAATTTTATTAAACGTTAAGGTTCAACTGTTGTGGTGTATTACCACAAATAGGCAACATAGCAAAGCTCTCTCTCCACCATCCAAAGAATTTACTTTTTTATCTTTTAATAGTTCGATATTGATGATGGTTTTTAAACTACTTTAAATTTAAGTTGAATTCAAGTTAAACACCTTAAAGATATTGCCAATTTCTTTAAATTTTAACCTTAAGTTTAGGAATTTTAATATTTGGACATGGTTTATGTTCTTTTGGTTTATTTTGTTTAAGAAATATTTGTTATATACGTTTTAAGAGTCGTAGTATATTTTTAAATAAGGGTTTAATTAATATTTTTCCTGTGGAAAATGTATTAATCGTTCAAGTATTTTTTGATTGAGTGCTTATTGTAGGGAAAATGAATTGTTGAAGAATTTACGTGATTCAGTTTATTTTGGGCAGTTGATCATTACATGCATTTGCTTATTATAAGGATTTCTTGCATATACTTATAGGGAGCTATGTCAGACGCAGGTACAGGTACTTTGATAATAAGATGAGAGTGAGTTGGATGAGTGTGTCTTATTTTCACTCAAGTGGTTATTACTTATTAATTCCTCTATTATTTTATTGTCAGGTACTCAGGTATAAGAATTGTATGGTTTTTTTTATTACATAGAACATTTGAAGGTTTTACTGTATAGTATTATATTATACTTATACCACTAAAATATAGCTATTTGAAATATTTAACAACATAAGTACCTATGAATTACACAAATTTAAAATAATGTAATTGACAATTGCAATAATTTATATTTATATATATATATATATATATATATAGACATATAGTAGTCTCAATCTATATACCTATCTGATAATTATACTACATAACTATAATACTATAATATTATTTGGGAATATAATATGTTACATACTGGATGATACATTTAAGGTAAGACACTTATTATTTCCAAAGTTATTAACATTTTTGGAAATATTTTTATAGCATCATTTTAGCACAACTTTTTTTTATTTATTCATTTTTATCGTTTTCATTTAAATTTTTTAAATTTTTTTAACGACAAAATGCATTTTAATTTCTTATTCCAAAGCAGAATATTTTGTAGAGTTCATAAAAATTGAGTTTTGTACTAGTAGTTTATGATTTATAAGTACTTAAAGTTTCGATGAGCTGAGTTGGGTGGTGCAGTGATGATCGCAAAATGTTGATCCACTACTCCACCCGTTTAAACTTTAAATACTTATAAGTAATTATAATTAATTAATTATACGTCCATAATTTTATTTCGATTGATCGAAATACTCCAAATAATATTCTGTCACGGAATATGAAATTAAAAATGTATGTTGTCATTTAAGAGAAAAAAACTTCAAAAATTATATCAATAAAATATAATTTTTTTATCAAAAATGTTTTTTTTGTAACGACTTAAAATTATGTATAAGAAATATTTTCAAAAAGTATTTTGTTTCAAAGTTTTCTGAAATACCTTGTCTTATGTTAAATAGATTACTCCGATACATGCTTAAAATAGGTTCCCTCAACACAAAATAATATTATGCTTAATTAATTTTAAAAAAAAAATGTTTTATAATTTATGAAATAACAAGTGGGTAAAATATTTTATTTTAGGGATAGGACTTAAAAACTAACGCCACTATGAGCATTATTATATATAGGATATATAGGTTGTATTATATAATAACAAATTGTTGATTAAAAGTTAAATAGTACTTACCTATGTTTGTTGAAATATGCTTGAATAGTGTACTATATTCTTTATTCTGGGAGATTATATTTGTAATAAATCTTAAATTACTATCACAGCCATCCTCCCACTCACAGCGACTATGGTTTTCTGTCCATTAAATATTGTTACAAATAAATTGTATAATACACGGTTAAGCGTTTACTTTAACTATAAACAGTTCATGATTGATTTTCAAATATTATTATTTTAACCAATAAGACCATAGTACAATAATAAACAATAATACTTTAATACAATTATTTAGTGGTTTTTAATGTTTTTATTTTAAATTTTATCATTTATTATTTATATCGTAATATAATGTGTGTATGTTTTCGCTCAAAATTAAGTCGACCTAAACGATTGCTACCGGTTAAAAAATTATCTTTGACAATGCTTGTTAGTTGTCAAAATTTTCTCACGCTTACGTGTTGTATTTTTTTTTTTTTTGTGAGGTTATAAATTTGACACTGAAATCTAAGGCCCCTATAGACACCCTATTGAACACCGGAAAATGTGGTTTGACCCAATAGACCTCGCGGTGTTTGGAGTGCGTGTGCGTGTATGTTTATTATTGGTAAAAAAAATAAGTCAATACGAAATATTACACCGTCTGTGACCAAGTTATAACGTGCCCACTGTTGTGTGCTCTGTAAAACGATATCAAATACTTATTAAAGATCATAGATACTGTAAACATTGAATAATAAGGGGTTTAAAATGATCCTATATACCTATAGATGTAGTTATAAACAAAACCTACAACAAGTATGTATAACAACTATGTATAATATCATTCATATCCAACAGGTGATATACCTATGTACGAGTATGATACATCTTGGTATTGCAATATTATATACCTATGCATGTACTTATTATGCCGAACATTAACGAGTTTCGTTTTTATTTTTTATTTTGTATAGGTAACGCCATTAAAATAGAATAAAAAGTGAGATGAAAATATTTAGACCCCGTTAACAATATTTTCGACTATAGTCTGACAATAATAATTGGTACCTTGACGAATGCCGGATCCTTGGGAATCATATTGTTTCCGTAGGTACATATATAGTCGTTAAAGTCTCCACTTGGTTATTTGATTATTATTTTTTATTTCCTCGGAATTATACACAAACAAATACTTACGAAATCGTATATAATGTACCTACATACAGGGTTGATGGGGTTTCGGTAAAATTCAATAACATTCGTAATCCCCCGACCATCCTCCATAATCATACGTTACTGCAGTATGGACATAAATCATGTGTTGGAAACGGTGATAGAATCGTGACTATGCTACCGAGTACCGATATGGCAATACACGTTATGTTCTCACTAGGTATATTATACTGATTCAGTTTTTTTCTACATGTATAGGAGAACAAAACATTGACTATAATATTTTATTATTGACTTATAAAAATATATTAATTTAAAATCGCATGCGCAATGTTTCCATCTTAAATATCTGCAATTATAGTTTGTAACATTTCTTGACTTCACACACTATTATATTAAGAGCTATTATGATTGAATATAGTAAGTAACTGTTGTAGTGAGGAAAGAAATGAAAGCTGGGTTAGCAAAATTATTATTATTATTTTTTTTTATCACGTGGATGAATTTCCATATTGTTCAACTGCATAGAATGAAATAAACCGTGAAAAGTGGTTAAATCTACGTGTCGCCGTTCTACCTGGGTAATTATTTGTAAACTTCAATTGTGCAACTTGTCGAAAATGTCGCTGACAAGTGTACTAAAATGTATATTATGTTTGTTGTATATATATTTTTGACAATACATAAATTATCATTCACAGTCAAAAATTGTTCATTATTCGTGTTTAAATGTAACTGAATATTATATAGTTAATCAATATAAAAAATATATAATAACATAATATATATTTAATACATAATATTAAATAAAAAATATCTTAGCCCTTAAGTTGTAGGTATCCATATATTATATAGGTATATTAGTTTTTAATGCTGTTAATTGTATGTTCTATTATCGCAGCTATTGCTATAATATAGGTTGGTAATTAATGTTATTTGTTATAAAAAAGAAAATTTACTATTAATTTACTCAAAATAAAAAATTTTATTCTGTATAAAACCGTTAAGGTATTTTCACTAATAATATTTTAAAGTAATTTTCGCTTAAAATATTTTAATATTCAAATATTGAAATTACATTTTATTATGACATTAATAAACATGAGTACTATAAAACAATAGATACAACTACTAAAGTAAAATATTTATTTTATCGAATTTAACATTGTTTTTTACACTATAAATATGATGTTGGGTATTGAATTAATGATTGAGCTGCAGAATAATAAAATTGTAATGACAAGTCAATATAATATTATAATATACCATATTCATTCACTAATTAGTAGTGTATACTCGATGTGAGCTCAAAACTTTTATATAATTTTAGGCAATACTAAGAAAAATATATAAATCCTGTGCATGTTCAGTTGCCATACCTGTATCATTATTATCGTTATGAATTTTCCGTGCTAATATATAATAAAATACTCATTCACTCATTCGCGCAATCGTTTGCGGTCAGTTTCTCTAATCTATAATAATATATCTAATTCACATTATCATCACAGCTCTGTAAAATAAAAACTTGTGTGCGTCCCGATATCAAACTTCTAATGTACATAGTACATAATAGTCTACATAGGTACCTACTTGTAATTTTTGTTTCATATTTTTTTATTTTTGCTAAAACTGTAAAGAATTTATTATAACGGTAAAAACCACAAGGTCGCCGAGGCCCAGTATATATATAAGGACAAA